ATATGCTATTAAACTAGCTGGTAGTTACGTTAACAGAGAGATCTAATAACACGCATTGATTAGAAAGATGTAGAACATGTCTCTACATCTGGGAGAAGAGCTAAAGAGTTATGAAAGTGGATAAAGAGATATATGTAAGACTTCTACGGTCGTTAGCACACGACTTCTAGAAATAGGCCTAGTTAAGTATATAGTGACAATGACGATAATATAAAATAGTTATATTGATTGATTATCATCATCATATCAGCATTTAACTGTCCACTGCTAGTTGCCACGCTTGGCAGTCGGATTGGCAACCAGTTAGGTTTTGGAGATGTTTTAAGAGCGACGCCGCTGCGCATCCCTCGCCGTCCCTTAGTCGCCTCTTACGACACTCACGAGAAAGGAAGGGGTGGCCTATTCTATACCGGGATCACACGGCAACTTATTATACTGTCATATAATTCATTTTGCTGAATATTGTTCTTCGACCATTATTAGTACAGGTCTAATTATTACTAAACTTATAAACCCCTTAGGCATTATAAATCCTTGTTTATTTAGCAAATACAATAAAAATATGAAATAAATAAGATGCGGCCAACAGTTTGAATGTATATCGAAACAATAATTATCGTCGACTACAAATTAGAAAATATTGTCAAAGTAAAAAAAAATATTGTTATTTATTTCATGTATAATCAAATTCGTAGTAGAATTATGTCGATGTACAAAGTTGTTGCCTACGTATACTTAGGACAGTGGAAAACAGTATTTTAATCAAGTAGATGTTCCATCATTTTAGGGCTTCGAAAGGCCACTCGTGTGTACGTGACGTGTGTAAGGATTCTTATTTACATGTTGATGTTATAAATGTTACAAGTTTCCTTTTTTTATGTAGGGTATTTTCAGAAATTCGTTATCGAACTTATATGTATAAAAGTTTATATACATACAGCGCACGCGACTTCGTTCACGTTTGATCTAAATTAAGCTGATCTCAGTACAACCCACTATGTCAGTGTTACCACCTTTTTATCCCGTAAAGCGACAAAGCGCTATTATCATTTTATAATCGTGCAATAAAATTTTAGTTGTACAAAAAAACAATTTCTTTAACATTGCATTCAAGTCTTTTTGACTGTGAAACATACATGTACAAATGACAATTTATCGAGCTAAAAACATACAAACAAGTATACGTCACGTATTTTTACACATAACAGTAATCGCTTACTTTAACGGCGGGTGTTATGCTTATAAATTTTTCCCTGGGTGACAGACCTATGAGGAATCGTTTCCTCGCTGTAATATTTGCCCAACCAGTGAAGAAAAGAGAGTAATGTTGCTCCAGGGCTTGAATTTCAAGTATCAAAACACCACACGGCTACTGAAGAACAGATAATACGAAGACAAAATTATAATTTCAGTAAGAAGTACTCATCTCTATCTAACACCAGTTATTATGTTCGTGCGTCAACACGTTATTGTAATAAAGCTGCAGTTCTAGTTTACACGACAGATCAATTATTTGCAATTTTTTTATAATATTGTTTATATCATAGGTATCTAATCCAAATTAAAAAAGATAATTACAATACATGAAATAATCCGTGCGCATTAGTAAATTAATTATTACTAATTATTTAGTAAATTAGTTTTATACTTATAAAAGAAATATCTACCGATGGTTTGTAGCATTTTGTTTGTGCATGGATACAATGGCAATACTACTGTTAACAAGAACTAATTTATTTATTACATTTCTCCCTTAGGAAAATACTGTGGTACTAAAATTAATTGATATAAATACATAGTAAAATTTGAAAAGATGCAATGCTATTATCCAAATTAGGCTCAAATTTGTATGGCAATTGGGGTTGTGTTTTGCATGTCTAGTGTGAATATAAATTAAACAGCTGCCAGGAGTACTGTCCTATGGCCACTATTGTACCGTTTAGTATAACGTCTGTTTAAAACAAACCAAATTTCATAAGATATTGATTCATAATAGCGGACAGGAACGAGCAGTAACTAGGTATATACTCGTATGTATTACTCTCTAATGTGAAATCGAGTTAGTTGGTTTTTGGCCGGCTCAACTAACCTTCATTAAATTTGGTATTCATGTAAATGATTGGAACAGGGAAGATTTTTGGGATGACGAAGAATACAGGCTACTTTTTATACTAGTCAATCAAAGTGTCCCGGCCACGCAGACAATCATAGGTGAACACTAGTCGCCAGATAATCAATCGAAAATGTCAGTGATTACACCGGCTTAAATTACCGAAACAAAAGAAGGCACGTACGTAATTACAGGTTATTCCCCTTTGCTCTATAAGATGATACCATTTGGCCTTAAATTTATATTTTATCATTATACCATTAACTGTCCAATGTTACTATAATATATTTTATATTTTTTAAATTAAAGTACCAAACAGACGGCCAGTATCTACAAATTTCATTATTTTCTTTGCCTAAATACCTACCTGAATCGGACTATAATAGTCACTGGTATCTTTGGGAAAACGAAACAAAATTCAGGCACAACAATTCCTGTTGTTGGTTGTATTTAATAGAGCTGTACTCGACTCTACCATGCAACGTTTAGAAACAGTGCACACTACACATAGCTACACATAACATATGTATGTATATTTACAGTACGTTTCCTATATACGAGTAATACTCATACGTTATAGGTTTTCTTATTTGATAGCTAGACAGGTACCTGCGGTTCGATGTAGATTGATTGATACATGTATACCTAGATGTGTAGTAAAACTTCACAATGTCCACTAACTGTGAATCACCTATATTCATCATTATCTACTCATTACAAGTGTAATAGGTACCTACAGCAGACAGTGGATGGGAAATATAAATAGGCCGGTACAGGTACCTAAGTACCATGTGACTATTACCACAATCATCATAAGTATAAAAAAAATATTAAATATTTTTGTTGCGTTTATTAAAGACTGTAAATTTTTTCTTAAATTAATTTTTATCAATAGTATAGGGATAACCTGGCTGCGAGTACTTAAGTATTTTAATTACTTCGTCCCATAGTGCGTTAGCATACTCGTATTATACTCGTGCATCTCAACAAGAGGTACCACCGCTACCTACATAAGTACTACAAGTGTTAAAAGTAAGCACCCAGCAGTCTATAATATTAGGCACTGTATCAAAAATAATGATCAAATAAAAACAAACCGGTTTCCGACTTACAATAAACAAACCGTAGCTCCAAGTAGATTGCCGGCTCCCGATGGTTAATGATGATTTTCCTGGATGTATTAGCCGGAGTCGAGTTCGAGCCTAGTCAATCAGGGCGACCAAACTGTTTGTGTTCACTTAATATGTTGGATACGTGTGTCGGATATAGGTGGTTAGTTTATTGCTGTCGTATTATTCGAGTTGCGAATTATCGACCGACACGACGATACGGATGAGTGCGCACTCGAGACGCCAAGCCGCGAGTTCGTTTGCGGCACGACTGCGACTGCAAAGTCGATTCCCTTCGCGATATCTAATTGCGGGGTGAACGAGGAGTGGGGTGAGGCGCGCTCGTTGCCATGGTGCGAGATCAGGCCACGTGCACGTGGCCAATGGCGAACGCGCGGTTGTCCCGTTGTCCACGAGCACGGCGCGCCGCTGTGCCGTGCTGCGCGGCCCGCGGCCGCCGCCGCCGCCGCGCCGCTCTACACGGCCGCGCCGCCGCCGCCACGCTTGCCGCCGTCCCATCCCACCGGCCGGGCGGCCGTCCCTCCGTGTACCCCGTGTGATTGTCCCCATCTGCCCGCCCTCAGCGTCGGCGAGCTCGCACACTCTCGTCTACAAACGTTACCTGTGACAGTCATGCAGCGAGCCAGCAGTGCCGCCAGGCACCAGGCACGTCCGAGCCACAGCTTGGAGCAGTGCGCTGCCGACTGCCGGGTCGTGGCCGCGCTGCGCACTTGCACGCTACGTACACGACGACACGGTCGCATTATCACATCACGCACACGTCACACAACGAAACACAATTGTTTACTTTATGCTACTCGTTGTTATTGTCACGACCGCCGCAGCATTCGTAGGTACCTATTAGCCAATAATAGGCACTTGTTCCTACGAGGAGTATGTAATAAAAAATAAAAATCTTTATTTTTTTATGCAACTTGGAAAAGCAAACAAGCCGATAGCGCTCTTGATGAAAAGTAATACGCGGATAAAAATAAAATAACCGTCATCTATAGGACCCTATGACGCCCATGGTATAGTTACTAGTGTAAGTTGCCACTGCAGAGAACTAAGGTATTAGGATGTCTGTAATCTATAACTTTACTGCCACTACCACCCTTCATACAAGCAAGCACAACTGTTCTACTTAGGTACCTACCTACATATATGTATTTTTAGAACAAAAATATATTCCTGTATGCATTATAACAACGTAGTGACATCCCGCTGTTGAATACGGATGTCTCCTCATAGAAGGAAAATAATAAAAATACCTACTCGTACTTATTAGTCCATTCTTAAGTAGATACTTTTCTGACTGAGCAGACGGCTCGGTACAGCTGGAGACATATAGGTACGTGGAGTAAAAGAACGGGCAAATATTCTAATGATAAATTTTTAAACCTATTCATAAATTGCATAGAAATGCTAGGTCTATAAAATCTAAAACATAAAAAAATATATACAGTGGAACTTAGAGCCTCCTACTTTTTTGAAGTCGGTCAAAAAAACAGTACAGTAACAAAAAATACGCTCTACAATATCAAGGACGCAACTCGCAAGGTCGACGTGGACGACCACGGACCGCCAACTCATATTATTCTGTACCTCATTTTATTGTTCTCATAGAATTATATTATCTGTGTTCTGGAGTCTTATATCTTGCTTCTAACAGTTGTGAATTTGAATTAATTTCTAAAGTTTCGAAGCTAGTAAAATCATCCCTCATAAATTTTACTCAAAAACTAGTTTACACTAGTTGTTTATACTTATATAGAGATGGGCAATCCACCTGGGTGGGTTTAAAGTCTGGTGGGTAAAAACCGGGTGTTTTGGGTTTATTGGGTTTAAACCCCATAAACACCCAAATTTTTGGGTGTTTATGATTTTGTACTTCATCATCGTCATCTCAGCCGCAAGACGTCCACTATACTGGACATAGACAATATTATTATGCAGCCTACAGAATAAAAAACTTTTAATTTGATTTTGAGTTTATTAAGAAAGAGATGAAAGTAAAATGTAAAACTACAGTCAATCACTGTCAGATTCAGAGTTATTACAAGCGATGAATTGTATAGGTTCGATAGGCTCTATTTCGTCTAAACTGTTATGTTCATTTACTTGCTCAATGAAAGCTTCTAAGGTATTTTCTTCATTAAACTGAATGTCCTCGCATTCAGCTTTATGTTTAAGATTCCAGTTATAACAAATGAATGAAATTTTTTCAGTTCTTTCAGTTGTAAGTCGATTTCTTTTGTTATTATGTATGTAGCCTTGGATACTAAAGGAACGCTCAGTGGCTGCCGAAGTACAGGGAGCTGATAGAATACGAATCGCTACTTTGCTTAACTCAGTGGAACCACAAATACCTTTCCACCATATTAGGGGCTCAATGCTATCTAATGAGCTCCATACAAATCCTCTGGCCCAAAAGTTTTCTTTAGCTTTATAACACGCCAAATCTGCCATTACATTTGACAAACTTAAGTGTTGGCTTAAATTGTAGATAAACTCCATACCCTTAAGTTCTTCCTCTTGAGTAAGTTCGACTCCTAGAGTCCTGGGGTCTAGAATATATGCTGCAAAATGTATTGGCCTCATTGCCATATTGCATCTTGAAGATACTGATGTTAGAATCTGCTGTTTGCTTTCTTCGCTCAATGTCGAAATCTCATTTAATGCAAAACGTATCTTAGCTTGTACATCTCTAAATGTAATGTATGTGCGATGCAAACGATTCTGGTCGCTCTCTAAGTAAAATATGCTTTCAGTGACTGGTTCCAAAATACTTATACATTCCCCTGTCTTCGTCCAGAAATCATCACTTAGAATTAAATCTTTAATATCTCTTGAAATTACCACATCTTCTCTAACTGTTAATATTTGCAAAGCTATCTTATTTGCTTTCAAACTTTTTAACGAAGTAACATGACTTCCCCATCTTGTAGCACAAGGCAATTTTAGTGTTTGTGTAGAATCTTCACCCTGCCTTGATTTTATCAACAAGGAACTTAATCGTTGACTCCTTTTAACAGTTTTTATTATATTTATGGCTTGCATAATAAACACAGTTACTTCTTGTATCTTTACAATATCTTGGCACAACAAGTTAAGGATATGTGCACAGCAACCGAGAGGAACAACATGTGGATATTTGAGTTTTGTTAATTCGAATGCCTTTTGTATATTTCTAGCGTTATCGCCAATAAGTACAAGAAACTTATTTGCTCCATACACTTTCATTACTTTTTCAACTTCTTGGCTAAGGTATTCACTAGTGTGAGGATTACTTTCTGTATTCAAACTTTTAACGTATGCAGGTTGAGGTTTTGATATAAGAAAGTTTATTATTCCTTCATTTCTTAAATTAGACCAGCCATCGCACTGAAGGTGTAAGTAACTACAAGCATTTAGTTCCTCATTTAACTCAAAACGCATTTCTCTATATATTTTATCTAAGTATTTTGTCGCTAAAGCTTTACGTGAAGGTATTTTAAATTTTGGTTGCAATTTTTCGAAAAATTGTATCCATAAAGGATGTTGCACCATCGATAATGGCGTCCCTGTTACAAATATAGCTCTCGCTAATTCTGTTTTTATATGATCATCGGTGTCTTGAAACTCAGCATTTATTGTAGTGTTAGCAGACGACGAGGGGCTTATAAAAGAATCATTTGTCTCTATCTCTGACAGTCCAGACATTTTGGTTTTGGACGAGCTATCCTTTATAAGTTTCATAGAGTCTTTTAATGTTTCTGGAGATTTTGGACAAGTGATAAGATGTTGAAGCATTTTGGCAGCATTACTGAATTTGTAGACCTTATTACAAAGCTTGCAAGAAACAGACTTGTTTGGTAAAGTACGGTAGTGCTCCCATATGCGTAAATCTTTAGGTCTCCCCATTGAACCTAAAAAAATGAACGATGATTAGTTGGTCTGACGAAAATTCAACAATAGAGTGCCTATTTTTTTACAATGATTATTTCTTGTTATTTACAATAAATTTATTAAAAAAATAATAAAATAAATACAAAAAACCTTTGTAAAATTACATCTCCTCGGAGGATTAAACGCAGACGCTAGTTTATTATCGTATTGTTCTGTATTTTTCTCAGCAACTTCTTTAATTCGATTAGGTACTTACGCATATTATGTTAAAAATAAATATCTAGTACACATCTTAGGCTATCCACCATTATTATCCAATGACGACTCTCAGCTAACTATGCACTATCATCCAAAATAAACGTGTATGGAAAATTTTATCCCAGTCGGTTGAGGATTGAGGATAATTGCATCAACATACGAACATACCTACATACTTTTATTTACATAACGCAAGCTAAATAAAAGCTTGTAATAATACATCTAATTTTAAGTTAAAATTGTTAAGTGATCATGATATAATTGTATCATTCAAAAATCCACTTACCTTTAATTATTTCTTGTTAAGTATAAATATTATTTCAAATCTGCTCCCTTAATATGCACTTTTTTACTGCTTTTCCTACCTAACACGTTACCAGGAAGTCACGTTACCAGAGTCAGAGTAATAGTGAACACGTTTGACAGTGATTGTCGTCGCCTCATATTCAGCGTCGACGAATAGGGGAATCCCCAGTCATAATGTATTGCATGCGTGGCGGTCTTACTTCAAATCCATAAACAAAGAGATAATTACAGAACTCGATACTAGATGGCGCTGTTTTTGTTTGAAGAAAGTTTGCGGGCTAAAATACATAGAATTTCATCAATGACTTCCACAAAGAACAACATTTCTGTTTTTTCTAAGTCCGTATCTCTTCCGTATATTTCATAAGATATAAGCTTGGGCTACATTGTTATGCAACGTGATTTTGTCGCTGTCTTGCTAGCAGGGTTGACAGATATACGATTTAAATCGTACTCATACTATTATTTGTCTATTTTTTAATGTACGATCGTAAAGATTATGATCGTAATTCGCACAAAAACATACGACTTTTTGGTTACCTGGCAACATTTTTATTATGAAACGAACATGCTCACATCATCAGTCACATGCAACAATTTATTGGGGATTTCCCCTTCACATCTGGCAGTCCTGCTTGCTAGAATATAGGTAAGTCAGCCACAGTTACTGACGATCGATATTTAAAGGGTATTGTTTTTGTGCTAAATATTTCATAAAAACGTTATTTAATACTTTGTGGATTATTAATTTAGTTGATAATCACTGGAAGTAAAATGGATGCTAATTTGAGAGATCAAGATCTTCGTATAAAACAGTTAATAAAAGAAAATCTACGTAAGTACTCTTTTTATACCTAGGTAGGTAAGGTATAATAAACACAAAAGGTACTTAGATCGCGTGTGTTCGAAGCATTTATTCTAATAAATTTAATTTAAAATTGTAGAAAGAAAAAAATGTCTGCCAAGCCGTAGCCGAAGCCGATCTCCAAATATATTTGGCGATAGTGAGACCCAGTGTCCAGATGATTTACCCAGCGTCGTCGCAACAAAGAAAAAAAACGAGGATAAAGTAAAAGAAAATTTACTGAAAGAAGAAACAAACTGTTCTAAATGCTTAATTTATGGAGAAGAGGATAAAAGAAATGAGTATTTCGGACTGTTAGTGGCTCAAGAATTTAAATATATACGGCCATGTGTGCGAACGAGGTGTTATGAAGAAATTTTAAAGTATCTACGGGAAGCAAAAGGCCAACATGTTGATCAACTGCAACATGAAAACACTGAAAATTAATTACTTTCATTTTATTATATATAGATTTTTAAAATTTCCTGAAATATTATTAGTTAACGTTTTATTTAATATTGTAGAATTGATCAATACAATTTATAAAAATAATTTATTGGTATTACTTACATATTTTCAAAAAAATACGTAAAAACCTATTTTTTTGGGTGATTATGGGAGTTTATGGGTGTTTATTGGGTTTTTACCAAAGCACCGGGTTTAAACCCGGTGCTTTGCCCATCTGTATACTTATATATTACTTCTGGCGCAGCACCATGTGGGAAATCAGATTTAAGTCGAGAGCTTTTACTGAATACAACTGCGATAAACGTACGACGTTGTAGCAACCTTAGCGCACCAAGGGGAAGGGATTGTTAGTAATGGGGAGGTTAGACCCCATTGCTATCAATATACCCTATCAGGTCGACCTCCGGAAGTATCCCCTGGAAACTATCTTGATTAATTTATCGTTGAATTCGTCACGATGGGCTAACTGACCTGCCTTTTCATTCTCACCTATCATCCCTCACTGGTGCCCCGCCAGTGTATACCGTTAGCGCAGGCGGGGTTACCATTTCATTATCATTCATTAAAAAAAAACCTCAGTGCATTGCGTATGTTGCTGACAGTAGGCGGGTTCGATTTACACACAATAAAAATATTTGTTGCGTTTATTTGTATTGAATTGGGTTTGAGTTATCACGACACTGTAATTATTAAAAAATATATATATATATATTTCACTGTCTCTCAGTTGGCCAGCTTAGTTTGGGACTAGACGGCATGAAATGGAATGTTGTTATGTAATTTTACATTGAGTATTCGTAAATTTTAGACCTAAGCAACAGAGTTATGACTTTAAATAGGCTATTGCACCCGATAAGAAAGTACTCAAATAATACCATGTTTTATTCCCGACGGATGGAATTGACTTGATAAGGTTACAAGTTTCTAGTGATATATTCCTTCTTTTCAACCAATTTCAAAAAGAAAGTGTACATTTTGGTTGTATTTTTTTATGTTTGTTACCACATTACACCAACAATTGTAAATCGGTTTGGATTTTTTTATATCTGAAAGGATATACTTGCAGATTAATCGCATAAAAATTTTATCAAAACCGGTTCAGTAGTTTAGATTTGAAATCGAAATATCTTTTTGTTTCCGCCGGTCTTTTTGTCAAACACAATCTTTAAATTTAAATTATCTTTATTCAGATAGACTTGTTTATAAGTACTTTTAAATCGTTATTTCTTTTTAATACACTGCAGGATTCGGATTTCGGAAGGTTATTATCTGTTGAGAATAGTCTGCAAGAAACAACAGTTACTCATTTAAATCTGTTATATATGAGTTCACATCATCATCCTCATCATTTCAGCCATTATTCGTCCACTGCTGGACATAAGCCTCCCCCATAGACTACCATGAAGACTGGTCCTGAGCCACCTGCATCCACTGACTCCCTGCAATGCATTTCAGGTCGTCACCCCATTTAATGGGGAGTCGTCCTACACTGCGTACGCGGTCGCCACTCAAGAACCTTCCTTCCCCATCGGGTGTCGGTTCTTCGAGCTATGTGACCTGCCCATTACCACTTCGGCTTGCTTATTCTTCGGGCTGTGTCGGATAGTTTGATTCTTTTATGGATATCCTCGTTTCGGATTCTATCACGCAAAAAACTCCGAGCATAGCCCGCTGAGTAATTTGAAGCATTAGCTTACGGGCAATCGTGTAGGAGCATGGTTTGGTTCCATAAATTATCACTGGCAACACACACTGGTTACAGATCTTCATCTTCAAATTCTAAGTTCACATATATTTATTTAAATGTACTATGTCTAAGACTACATGGTCATTAAGGAGCTCGTACATGATCCACTAACACCATGCACGTTTGTCATTCAAGTAATCGTTTAGCGTGTAATAGGCTTCGTTCAATAAGTGTTTTTAATAACAATTTTATGTTTTTAATTATATATTATCTATTAAGTAATAAAATGTATATTTATTTATATTCAGCAATATAACGAACATTTATATACATATCGTATGTAGTATTAGGTACATATGTTGTGTTTGTTTTACAAACAGTTTTATTTTAGGTATAGCAATAATAAATATTATCTATGTATTTTTATACTGTTTATTACCAAAATAAAACAAAATATATGTAACTATCAATATATTTTTTACAAAGTAGTTGTTTTTTTTTTTATGGGTGATAATGGAATGGTAATCCCATCCGCGCTATCAGTATACACCGGCGGGGCACCAGTGAAGGATGATAAGTGAGGATGAAGCAGGTCAGTTAGCCCACCGTGACGAATTCAACAAGAATTGTTCACGATGGTTTCCAGGGGGAACCGCGTAGAAGTTGACCTAATAGGACATATTGCTAGCAATGGGGCTGTCAAACTCCATTGCTAACAATCCCTGTCCCTCCTAAAGTAGTTGTTTAGTTGTCTAAGAATATGTTAAATATGATGACGCTTGGTTCACCAGTTTAATTCATGAAATGCTACGGGCTGCTCCAGGCTCCAGCCGCTGCGATGGAAGTAATTATTAATTAACTCTAAATACCAACATGTTTCATATTTTAGTTTTTTATTGCTATTTTATGCTATTTATTATGTTTATAGGCGACGATTACCACTTTGCATCAGGTGGGCCGTCAGCTTGTTTGCCATTCTAAGTTGCATAAAAAAAAATTACTAAACACATGTTTGTATTCACACAAAATCATAAGCTTGTACAATTTTGCTTTTATTCTATTTGCAACAATCATTTGTAGAGAGAGAGAGAGAAAGCTACAAATAAATTACTTGCATGTTTTTCGGTTTAACTTATTCAGAGTTACGTGTAGTGGAGAGAAGCGGAAGGATGATAAAACAATGACTATTCCGAAGCACTGAAATGTTTTTAATTTTATTCTAAAATAATAATACTTATTTGAGACAGAGCAGCATGGACAGCCGCCCTCGCCCTTACATAACACCCGGAAAATGTTCTTGGGAGATCATCCTGGACTTTCAACTTACTTTAAGGTCAGTCTCCTAAGAACGTTTTTAGGCATTATTTACCTTACCTAAAATTATAGAAAAATGTACAGTTATCAACAAGATAGGAAGACAGTTTAAATGAAAATTCTGTGACGCCAACTATCATGTATGTAGGGAGGGGGGAATGTTGGTAATGTGGATTACCACTTCCATTACTATTAATATACCCTAACAGATCGACCTCCACGTGATCCCCCCCCTGGAAACCATCGTGCCGAATTCCAAGTGTATTCATCACGATGGGCTAATTGACAAGTCTTTCCATTCTCACCTATCATTCCTTACTGGTGTCCCGCCAGCGTATAGCGTTAGAGCAGGCGGAGTTACCACTCCACTATCATCCATTTTTTTTTTTTTACAACACGGGGCAAACGAGCATGCGGCTCACCTGATGATAAGTGACTACCGCCGCCCATGATCACCTACAACACCAGCGGCATTGCAGGTGTGCTGCCGGCCTTTTAAAAATATACTATAATATAATATACTCTTTTCTTGAAAGTTATGTTGTCGTATCGGTTCGGAAATACATTAAAAAAAAAAAAATGATAATGTATCTTACATAAAAATCAAAAGATTTTATGGAATCGAGTTTATAATATCAGAAATCGAATTAACGACTAAAGTAAGTGGGGTGAAGTGAACACTGAGCGATCGGGGCGAGTTTCTTAACGAGTAAAAATGGATTGGTAACCCTGTCTGCTTTATCGGTATATGTTGGCAAGGCACCAGTAACACTATAGGTGAGGATGAAAGCAGGTCAGTTAGCTCACCGTGATGGATTCCACAGGAATCGGCCACGATGGTTTCCCCATCACTAACAAATCCTTTTTTTTTACGCAACTTAGCATGGCAAACAAGCTGACGGCCCACCTGATGGAAAATGGTAACCGTCGCCTATAGACATGAGCAGTACCATGGACATAACATTCTTTCAAGTGATGGGGTATCAGGGGAACCAATAAAAACAAGATGTCAATACGACTCACTATCGGTATATTTTATTGCATTTACAATTGTATTTACATAAACGATACAGCGGCACTAGGTGTGAACATTAGTAGTGAGCAGTGGCCGCGTCCGGTGCAGCGGCGGCGGCGGCGGCGGCGGCGGCGGCGGCGGCGGCGGCGGCGGGCGGCGGCTCGGCGCGGAAGTCGAGCAGCAGCTTGCCGCGCGCCGAGCCCTGCTGCGCGCGGCGCGCCGCCGCCGGCAGCCGCCACCACGGGAACACGCGCTCCACGCGCACCGAGAACTGCAGACCAGCGGGAGGGGGGAGGGGGGGGGGACATTAACAATACCACACCGTGGCCCGCGGCCATATTGCATTTAGTGTCATGGTCTGGACTCTCCATTTTATAAATTAATGACCCGCCATCTCGTGATGTCGGCCATTTTGAAAATGTTACAATGTTCAGAATTATATATTGTATTGTCACCAGAACTAAATAGACCTATTAAACTAACAGGGAGACGCGAGGCAGAAATAAAAAAAAATTGATGCAAGTCTGTTACAGTTGGCCGGGGCTTAGTTGCTTATCAAGTTAAAATTATTTTGTGAAAAGGAAGTCCACCTCTGAACCAAATGCATCTTCACTTCTGTTATCCATACTAATATTATAAATGTAAAAGTGAGTTTGTTTGTTACCTTTTAGCGCCTTAACGAAATTTAGTATACACGTACTAAATGGGACAGCATCTTACATGATGCAGTTTTACTGTGAAAAAATGTATATTAAGTAACACGCCAACTTTCAAGGTGATCGGTCAAACGATATCAACGTGTCATATAATTAAAGTATATACATAGATATCAACTTTTGTATATACGCATATACAGATAACACGGTGACATAAACAATCGTTACTTATTAATATATTGTTATTGGTTATTATTAAATTTGTTTATTATTATACACAGATATTCATAACGGGGGATTCTTATCTACTTCGGAGTGATATCACGCCACGGTGTCATGCGGCGGCGGCGTGGCGCCGGACTGACCGCCGGCGCTCGGGTACGGCCTCTCTCGTGTACAGGAACGTTCATATCTGATTTGCACAGCCAGAAATAAAATTCGCTCCTAACGTCTCCTAACGTATTACCTTATTTTCACAATCTATTATCTTCAATGCTAAAGTGCATAGATACTCGAATTTTCATGCGCCATCTTAGACCATGTCATCGCTCAACATCAAATGAGGTGGTCGAATTAAAATTAATCGCGACCCACCGGCGGAGGCGACGCTCACCTGGCCGCGCTCGGCGAGCCGCCGCAGCAGCTCGATGTCGTCCGCCGACGCTGAGAAGAACGCCCAGCGGACGTGCGGCGGCGGGCAGCCGAGCGGCGCGGCGCCGGCGGCGGCGGCGGCGCGCGCCGTGGCCGCGCACTGCGCCGCCAGCGTGGCCGCCGCCGCCGCCGCGCCGGCCGCCAGCCCGCGCCGGTCGGTGGCGTGCAGCAGCGGCGTCGTGAGCGTCACGTAGCGCCTGAAGCTGCAGCCGCGCGCCGCCAGCGCCGCCGCCTCGTCGCCGCCCAGCCCCGCGCAGTCCAGCACCGCCTCGTACCTGCCGCGCACACGGCGCCGAGTACTAAACATACGGCCCCCGGGAACCGCGCAGGGGCGACTATAACCACTGTGTCGCGACTAGACGAAAGCCGGTATCTTCCCTCGGCAAAAATTGCAAAGGCCGCCGCGACCTCCGCAAGAGAACGAACAGTATATAGTTTAAATAAGTATAAAATTCATTTTTAAGTGAGTTTAAAAATGAAATAAGTATGTGTAGACTATCATCTCTAACAATTTTTGTAATGTTACCATATCACCTCGTCGCCCCACATTTTAGCAATAAATTTTATTCTTTCAATAAAGTAGTCTGAGACAGTCACCGGCCGTCGTCCGGGTTCCGGCCTCTAATTAGCAGCAAAATTTGGTAGAAAACCTGCGTTTCTACCTGCTCGCTGCTGAATAAAAGTGTGCGGGAGGACTCACGGGCCGGCCTCGCGCTGCTGCTGGTGGTAGTCGGACGCGCGCCGGTCCAGCGCCGCCGCCGCGCCGGCCGCGCACGCCACCGCCTGCTCGTCGGCCGAGCAGCCCACCACCACCTGCGGCCGCCACGAGGTCAGTACCGGCGGACTACGCCGCCGCGGCTCCAATGAAATCATTTAAACGTGCGAGCGGTACCTGCGCGCCCTCGTACACGAGCAGCTGCAGCGCGGCGTGGCCGACGCCGCCGAGCCCGAGCAGCAGGACGCGCGGGCGGCGGCGGGGCGCCGCGCCGGCCGCGCCGACGACGCCGGCCGCGCGCAGCGCCGCGCGCGCCGTGAGCGCCGCGTACAGCGCGCCGCCCGCCTCCAGGCCCAGCGAGGTCGGCGCCGGGCCCGCCTGCGCAGCAGCGGAGCGACATGTGAGTGAGCTACTGCGGCTGCTACTGAGCACGTACCAGTGTGCAGCGTTACTGCGCGCGCACCCAGCGGTGGTCGAGCAGCGCGAGGCGCGCCAGGCAGCCGGGCGCGTGCGGCGGCAGCGCGGCCCACACGCGCTGGCCGCGCCGCAGCCGCGCCGCGCCGCCCGCGCGCTCCACCACGCCCACCAGCTCGCGCCCCACCACCAGCGGCAGCTCCACGCCGCCGCCACCGCCGCCAGCACCGGACAGCGCCCGCAGCGCGTTCAGCACGCGGACACCGTAGCCCTCTGCGACCACGACCACACTATTTATTTATTTATTTAAGGAACACCAACAGCATATTGCATTATAACATATAGGTCTATCTATCTATCCATTTAAGAGCTGCGCTCTTGTCGATGGAGCTCTTGCCACTCGACACGACACCAATTCCTTCCTTGATATGCCTGATGTAACTATGCCTCGGTCTCCCTCTCCCCCTCCTTCCTTCTATCTTACCTTCTATTATAATGTTCATAAGTTCGTCGTGTCGTATCAAGTGTCCTAACATTTTTCCCCTTCTGTCTAACATATAGATATAACAAACATTAAATATAATACAATATTAATGCACGTGCCTATTATAGGTATTCACAGCATTCACTTTAACATAATTATACAGCGCAAGAAAATTAAGTAAATAATAAAAATAAACATGTAACCTAAGTTGTGAACAATATCAGAAAATAAGATTATGAGTGAATTGAATTAAAAAAAATATTAAAAAAATATATATTATGATAATTAGAGTTAATTTTCATAAGATTGTTGTACAAAGTGCTTCAGCAATTTATTCCTGTAGGAATTCGAATTATCATACACTATATCAATTTCAGGTAATTTGGCATAAATTTAATTGTATGACACACTAATCCTGACCAGAAGTTGATGCAGTCCTAGGTTTGTTCTGCAGCGCGGTAAGCTAAATGCTCTAGTTATAGGATGTCGAGTACTACACTATACTATACTCACATCTAATTAGTGTAGCTTCCTTCTTAACATAGAAGAAATTTAAATTGTATGTTTATCAATTTTAGTGTATTCCATATTTATTACTTTGCGTGTTAGCGACATACACTTGATTTTAATAATAAATAGTAGCTAGATTTAAGTTTATATAAATACAGCCTAGCGGAGCGCGTACGTGTCGGCGTCGATGGTTTCGATACCCGTTATACTCAATCAGGTGTTACTTTGTAAACAATCACGTTACTTGCTAGTTGATTAATGTTACTCTACCGAATTCGACCTCGACCAGACGCGAAACCAGTATCATACTACATGTATAGACCGAGTAGTGACTGGAGATCATTTAACTAGGGTGGACGCAGAGTTGTCTCTGATAGTAGTCAAATCTCGAGCGTCAACAGCCACACTAACGGTGGCGGCACTGGGCGAAATAATTCTAATAAGGTGACCGGTGTCGAGTTAATATTTTACTTATATGAATGTTCGGCAGGTGTCAGTTTCGAAATGATACGTTCGGGTGGTAGCGTGGGCGGCGCACCGGTCATGGCGAGGTCGAGCGGGTTGAGCGCGGCGGCGTGCACGCGCACGAGCAGCTGGCCGGGCGCGCGCAGCGCCGGCACGCGCGCGTCGTCCAGCCGCAGCGCCGCCGCGCCGCCGTACGAGTGCACGCGCCACGCCGCCATGCGTCCGCCGCGCGCCACACACTCTTGCATCGCTCCTGAGGGACCCCTGTACGAGTAGCGATCATCCCTCACTTTAGTCCAGTAGCGAGTCATTCTTTTTAATTGCAGCATCTCAAATTATATTACTCTGCATTTACCATATTACATTTTTTTTTTAGTAGTGGTAAATACTTCGTTTAGTCACGCTAAAATATGTCAACTGGATACAGTGTTGTCTCATAATCATATTATCTCAAAGGCGAAAGCCGATAGACTGAGAACGTATACTATGCATGCAATATAATATTTATTTATTTATTCATAGGAAAACCAGGGCTACACTGGAGCAAAAAGATACAGTTTAGGATCACAAAATAAGCCACTGATACAAGTAGCAACAATACAGATACAAGGCCCTGTACACAAAGCTACAAAAATAGAAATTAACAAAAAAAAAATGAACTAGAGGAATGAAAACAAAAAAAATTAAAGGTTAAATGTAAATATTTGACTAAAATATGACCTTCTTATCCATACAATAGTAATTCATACTGACTATGAATAAAAAATTCCCTACTCAGTTGGTCTCTCACTGATATTATATTTTTCAAAAATAGATCTATATTAAGTTTTAGAAATAGTATTAAAGTTATTACTAGCTCGCCAAAGGAACGAATTTTATCTATAATTCGATAACACTAGTGGAATAAATAGAGTAGAATTATGCCTTCTAGACTTAATTGATACATTTAGTTTTAATTTTTATAGTAGTTCAGGGCAATCAACTTTAGCTGAAGCTATCTTCATCAGATATGCAATGTCGCAGATATTTCTGCACTTTTTGAGAGGGAGAAAATGGTGTTTTTTACAGAATTCAAGATAGTCAGAAGAATCATATCTATCATGTAATCTATAAGCTAAGAAACGAATAAACTTTTCCTGAATATTTTCAAGATGAGATATATACATTTTATATCTCAGATTCCAAATTTGTGAGGCGTATTCTACTTTACTTCTAACTAATGAACAGTATAGATTTTTTAAGGTTTTGGCTTGCTGAAAATAAGTTGAACTGCACATTAGGAATCTAAGTGCCTGTGAAGCTTTAGTTACAATATTGTTAATATGCCCATCAAAAATATTCTCTCTAATAAGTATGTTATGATAGTTACAGTTATACCATATTAAAGACTACTGTTTATTCGACTTCATTGCAGTGCCCCTGAGAACCATTGTGGTTATTTTATAGCAAATTCATTATGATGAGTCAGCTGACTTGGATCTTCACCTATGAACATTTACTGGTCCAAATGAGAGGCTTAGCGCGGAAAAGAATCAATTTACATTACATTACATCATTTACTGATCTGACGCCAACATATACCAATAATACAATTAATAACATTTGATCGTTGTATTCCTTGCATGTTACACGACATTTGCATCTACTTGATGCCCGACATCTACACAAATTTTTCACCAGCTTCATTGTATTTTTTTTTTATCGATAGGACTAGTTCTGTGTTGATGGTGTAATAACCAATTGTTTTTAGAAATCATAAATTTTAATTTACATACCTAACCTATAGCGAAGGACTTTTTAACATATCCAAAAAAGTAGCCAATCGTTTGCTTTAAAATATGTTTTATATACGAATAATTAAGATACAACAAAAAAAAAGAGAAATTAAATTCTAAATTTGTTTAAAACTTTACAAATTTCATAACCGCGCCAGCAACAGCTGGAAAATATTCCATGCCACAGATTACAGAGACTATTTTTCTCTAATCTGTGGATTAATTGTCAGAATCTAAAAGGTATATAGAAAATGTTATACGGCTGTATAACCCTATCAAATTCAAATACAACTTGCTTGTATACTTTCTACATAAACTATGTCGAATATATACTCTAATTAGTAATGTAAATGAACAAAAATTTTACATACTCATTTTCTATGATACGCTACTGCTATGGATTGAGAAAATTAGCAACAGATGGTATATCTTTTGTCCTCTTTTTACTAATTGTATTTGCATAAGAAGAAAGGAGGCAAACATAGATTTATAATTTTTTATTTTATCATCCTTTCTATGTAACTCCTTGTTGTAGAGTATAACCTAAAATTACATCCGCACAGCTGACGGTGACAGATAGTGAAGCCGATTCTGAAGTGCCATTTTTCTAATCTTATATTTTGATAATTTTGCAAAATGACTGTTATGTGGATCATTATAAACTGAAATTAAAACAATTTTAACTTAATTCTATTAGGAAATGAGTTCGTATTGGTTTTTACAGTAAAGATTTTGTTGTGATATCAAATTGAAATTTTAATTTTAGAGATAGATTAGAAATTTGACGTCTCAGAATAGACTGTGTTATGTCAATTTCATTATTTTTCAAATTTATGTTTCTGCTAAAATTAACATTTAATCGACAGTGTCTATAATCTTCGATTTCCTTATGAAATTGGTTGTATGATTTTCGACAGCAAATATAATTTTCTATTTATTTCTCTAGCTTTTTCCAAACATGTATTAAAATTAAATTAAAGATATAAATTGTGCAATGGAATTCATTAGACGAAGTATAATTAATTTTAAACAGTATCCACATCGTCTTTTTTATTATGGACTTAGGCGCAATTACTGCACCAAGGTGCGATACATTTGAAAATATAAAAATAAAAATAAAGTTGTGGAGCTTCACATTAATTTATTATTTGATGTCAGAATGGTGAAGCAGAAAGCGAAGAATGGCCTCGACGCGTGGTAACTGGACTGCAGCCGACGGGCGCACTACATGTGGGCAATTATTTCGGCGCGCTGAGGCGGTGTGTGCGGCTTCAGGACACCGGAGATGACCTCATGATTTTTATAGCTGATCTGCATTCGCTTACCACTCATCAGGTAAGCAACTTTAAATATGAATATATCAAATTATCTAGCAAGTAAACCTAAACGGAATTCTAGTGTTCATTGTTTTATCTCAATAATTTGTTCATATTTTTTAATGTATATAATTTTTGTAACATATATAATATATATATATATATATATATATATATATATATATATATATATATATATATATATATATATATATATATATATATATATATATATATATATATATATATATATATATATATATAGTTACATTTTGTATATATTTAGTTATTAAATATAACTAAATATATACAAAAGGTACATATTGAGATGTAACAGAATTAAGAGGTAGAATTTTTTGTGACACATGTGAAATCATATTATTACTATACATATTACATAATTATAATATAAATATTGTAATATTATATTCATAACAAGATCTGTCCATAGAGTACTTTGACTTATAATTTACCAAGCGCTACTGATAATCTTGGTGTCCTGTCATTATATGGTCATATCTATGATTTACTTTTTTTATTGAAATTTATATATTTTAATGCAACACTCACTATGTACATGATTCTGTTTACTCCCAACAAGTCCTTTTCCTGTGCATTAAAATACCTATTCACACCAGTTTGTTGTATTAAAAAAACATATAGCAATATGTGTTTGCCCGTGCCAGGCAACATATTTATGGTTATTTATTTATTATAGGAAAACCAGGGCTACACTACAGCAAATAGATACAGTTTTAGGATAACAAAATAAGCCACTAATAGGCTTTCACAAGTAGCAACAATATAGATACAAGGCGCTGTACACAGAAACAAAAATACGAGTTAACAAAAAAAAAATGAACAAGAGGAATGAAAACAAAAAAAAAAGGAATGATAACTAAAATACAAATTAAAGATTAAATGTAAATATTTGACTAAATAATGGCCTTCTTATCCATACAATAGTAATTCAAACTGACTATGAATAAAAAAAATTACTCACTCAGTTGGTCTCTCACTGATATTATATTTTTTGAAAATAGATCGATATTAAGAGTTCTAGAAAGAGCATTAAAGTTGTTGCTAGCTCGCCAAAGGAATGAATTTTGGTTATAATTCGATGACACTAGTGGGACAAATAGAGTAGAATTATGCCTTCTAGACTTAATTGATACATTTAGTTTTAATTTTTGTAGTAGTTCAGGGCAATCACTAATTGTTATTGTGCATGGCAGAATCCACAAGCTTTGCAAGAGAACAGTATGGAGCTGGCAGCGCTACTGCTGGCGAGTGGCGTGGATCCAGAGCGGAGCGTGGTGTTCGTGCAGTCGGCGGTGGCGCGGCACGCGGAGCTGTGCTGGCTGCTGGCCTGCCTCGCCACGCAGGCGCGGCTCGCGCACCTGCCGCAGTACAAGGAGAAGGCTGCCACGCTCAAGGAGGTGCCGCTCGGTCTGCTGCTTTACCCTGTGCTGCAGGTCTGCTGTCCTCTGTCTGTCGTTGCATCCTGCTTGCTATGAGGCCTATAATTCTAAACTGAATATTTTAATTGTCGATAGTAGTTAGTGTAGCCTTGTGGTCTCCCTGATCACTTTGTTCATGTGGTCATTCCTATCGAGTATATTTCAGAATACTAATTAAAAAAATTACAACAGTCGGCCAATTAGCATATCTTTGCAAAATATACCGAGTTTGTTTAGAAATCAGTCAATCTAGAATATCTAGATGGTATGCGCCAGTGTTACGAGTGTAGCAGTGAGCGGCGCGCCGCGTAGAGTGTGAGTGGTAGTGACCGCGTGTGCAGGCGGCGGACGTGCTGGTGTACGGCGCGACGCACGTGGCGGTGGGCGGCGACCAGGCGCAGCACCTGCAGGTGGCGGCGCAGCTGGTGCGCACGTTCCGCCACCGCTACGGCTGCCAGCCCTTCCCCACGCCGCGCGCGCTGCTGCCAGGTGGCCCGCCACACCACTCACGCACGCAGCTACACCCGAACCTGAATGCACACCCACATCTGTACTCGCACTCACACCTATACTTACACTTGTACTCACACCTACATTCACATCTGCTCCCGAAGTCAATTGAGCTTGAAACAAAATTGCTGATGTGTATCATCAGATGAGAGTAATGTGTATATTGATTGAAACTGGTTGGTTTTATAACTACCCTCATTTTAACTACAAAATGAGGGTAGTTATAAAAAAAAATGACTTTAAACATGTTAAGCTAAGAACTTTTCAAATGACCCTCGTACAATTGCATCTAATTTGGTGCAGTAATTTTTATGAGATACCAGAACAAACAAAAATGAAAAACCAAGGGTATTGAATTAGCTTCTTTTATTTTTAAATTTCTCCTAAGTACATACAGCCGTCAGCGAGCTACGATAATCATGCCATGAGACTCATTCATGCTAACTTCCAAAATCACTTATTCGATTTTTATGAAATTATGTGAATGTACTTTGTTTATTCTAATTTGAAAAAGGATAGTTTTTATTGATAAGAAAAAATGGTGGTGGCAGAGAGCAAAACATTTTTTTAACGGGCGAAACTAAAGATGTAAACATAAAAACCGCATGGAGATTGACCTGACAAGCTATATTGCTAGTAATGAGGCCGTAAAAACCTTTGCCAGGGTAGCTAGTAGGTATAAATATTAAACAGGTCGATACACATTATCATTGTTCAGATATGTTGCTATTATTTGCGATTGATATATATATATATATATATATATACTAGATGATCGCCAATAATGATTACACATTCCATTTAGATGATGGTAGTGACCGGATACGAAGTCTTCGCGATCCCTCGAAAAAAATGTCGAAATCGGATCCAGATGGTAAATCACGGATACTACTTAGCGACCCGGATGATGTTATCGCCCTCAAGATAAGAAAAGCTGTCACAGACTTCACACCCCAGGTGCGTAACACTGCTGGATGTGCCGTGGATTATGTCGTTAGTTTTTTTGGATAATCGATACTGTTACTAATTCATTTATAAGAAAGTCGGTTGTATTATTGGTACATCTATGGAAAGTAAATTTTAAACATTATGTACTTAGAATAATGAGTGATTAATGAAAGCGTCGTCGACCTGAATAAAAATACATGTAGATACTTCGTATTGTTTATTTATAAAAATTATTATTAATTTCATTGAAAATCTTATACTAAATTGTATACGCGTACTGAGTTTTCAAGTTTAGATACGATCAGTACGAGATCACTCGAAGGTTAGCGCCACATTCGGCGTATCTTCGGTCGCACCGTATCAAAAATGTACGTGAACGTCGAAACACTAACAGATACGCTACCTCAACGATAAACTAGCAAAAAATCTAAGCTACTCGACGTGTTCGACATTCGTATCGGCGGGCCGGCGCCGAGGACACGCGATCGAAGATGCGCCGAGCGCGGCGTCCACCTCACGGCACCGTGCGGTCGCAGGTGACGTACGAGCCGGACACGAGGCCCGGCGTGTCCAACCTGGTGACGCTGCACTGCCTGGCCGCCGGGCTCACGGCCGAGGAGGCCGTCGAGGAGGCGGCCGCGCTCACCACCGCGCAGTACAAGCAGGTGGTGGCGCGCGCGCTGGTCGCCGAGCTGGCGCCGCTGCGCGAGCGCGCCGCCGACCTGCGACGCCGGCCGCGCCTGCTGCGGGACGTGCTGCGCGCCGGCGCGGCGCGCGCCCGGCGCCGCGCCGACGCCGTGTACGAGCGCGTGGCCGCCGCCGTCGGCCTCGCGCCGCACGCGCCGCCGGCCGACCGCGCGCGCGCCGCGCGGTGACTCCAGGACGGCGGCCCGCGTCCGCGACCGACTTCTCGCTCGCGACACTGCGCCGCCGACGGTAGCGCTTTAATCGTTTAGTAAAAATTTAAGACTGCGTTGCGCGAATGGTTACTGGCTCGTCGAGGTCTCTCGCGACGATCGACCGCGATTTTCGACATACATCATCAAGCGTAACGACCTCAGTCCCTTATATATTGCAGTATTTCGTAGGGGTTTCTAGGCCACGAGCACGGAGTAGTTCACTACATTTTAACAATTTAAAAAAAGAGAAGGTCCCGCACTGGTTCGTCTCCGACATAGAGGTGGCGGCCGTGACCGGTAGCGATCACAGGCGGTGGTGGTGGTGCTGCATGGGCGCGAGCGCGTGGTCGGGCGGCGCGTGCGGCGCGTGCGGCGCGTGCGGCACGTGCGCGGCGTGCGCGTGCGCGTGCAGCGGCTGCAGCGGCGCGGCGCCGGGCGGCGCGGGCGCGGGCGCGGGCGCGGGCCGCTCGCGCAGCAGCGCCAGCAGCTCGCGCAGCAGGTCGACGGCCTGCGTGACGGCCTCGGCCTGCTTCTCGGCCGCCAGCGCGCTGCGCATGGCCGCCTCGGCGAGCACCTCCTCGGTGCTGACGCGCGCCGAGTCGCCGCCCGCGCCGCCGCCGCCGGCGCCGCCGCCCGTCGAGCCTTCCGAGCACATGTCGTCGTCGAGCAGCGACGGCTTGCGCTCCTCGTCTGAGTGGCTGCAGTGTCTGCCGCTGTTGACTGGCCACATATCATGTGTCAGTATCGATATGGAAATATGGACAAAGTAGATTTTAGAAGGGAATCTTCTGCTTAGTACATAGTGCAAATGTAGTAAATAAACTATTAAATTATTATTGTGATTAAATATTTTATTCTCATTGGAATTTATATATCCTAACAGATATAATAGGGGAAAGGGATTGTTAGTAATGGGGTCTAATGAACCCATTGCTAGCAATGCACCCTATCAGGTCGACCTCCACATGGTTCCCCCTGGAAACCTTCATGAATAATTCTTGTTGAATTCGTCATGATAAGCTAACTGACCTGCTTCATCCTCACTATCAATAGCGCGAGCGTGATTACCATTCCATTATCACCCATTATAAAAACAGATGTAATGACATACTATAAGTGTACTTTGACCTGAGACACTTATTTGACATCATAATATAGCCACATGAAGTATGTGGGGGCACATACTACCAGTCCACATATAAAAAGTGCAACAGTACTCATACTAGATCCTATTCTGATTGTGCCACTAGAAATTATTGATTGCTGCACTGCGGCTACTTTTCTCTCATTCTTGTACAATCATTAGACCTAGTAAAAACACATTCTATTTATTATAATAATTATATTTAATATTTTTGAGTTATTTTCTTTGAAAACAATGTACTTGTCATTTGTAGATTACCTGTTGTTCCCACATTCTTTCGTGTTATTACTATAAATTGATACAATGAGAATAATAAATGACTCACATTCTCTACCCCCAGTGCTGAGGATATTACGCAGACGCTCCTCTGCACTAGACAGGTCTCCCAGGGCTCCTCCTGCAGCAGACTTCTTGCGTGCCTTGTATTTTATATCTGCCCAATACTGTAACAATAAAATATTTAACAAACTTGCTATTATCAAATTATGAGATGTCCATAAGAAACAAGTGTTTTACTACATAATATAATAATAAAACCTCTTTATTCTCATATCCGATAATAGTTTTAAAGTGTATTAATTACATTGTAGGTAGTACTAGAAATCTTAATATCTATTTTGGTTTATTTGTTATGAGCCCCATAATGGACATACACCTCCTCCATTTGGTTCCATTTCTCCTTTAGTTTTGCTATATTTATCCAATTGTTGCCTGTTATTTGTTTAACATCATAGTTTTACTATGTTTTACTACAGAACTAGTTTTAATTATACACTATTCATTACTCAGATAATACATAATTTATATGTTAAAAATTCAAAATATATGAGTAGTATGAGATAGCAATTTACATATTTTCTCAGACATATTTGCTAAAATCTGCTTATTCTCTGTACAATTAATAAATATTTTAAAATAAAGCACAAATCAAAGAGTAACAAATTTATTTCACATTTCCATTATTAGAATTAAAGATGTTAACCTTCATTGAATTGCCCTTAAGGTTGCCTACTAATCACCAACATAGGAAATGTGTCAATGGGTAAATATAATGGATTTGATGAACTGAAGTCACAATGCTGGGTATTGTATGGCTAATGTATTCATGATGTTAATATGAAATATAATTGTAATAGTAATCTAATATTGAAACGCCAATGTATTTCGTTAAATTTTATGCAGACAAGATGATGAAGATGGACAAAACCTGTTTTTTAAGTCATGGTCTTTGTTAAAATATCACATTAACCAATATCAAATATTGAGCAATCTGCACTCTCTACTGTGGTAGACATGGGCTCATGATAAGAGATACACATAATAGCCAAAACTTATAGATTATTATTGTTTAACAAGCGTACTGACCCGACACCACTTGTCCGGTGATTTGCGCGCACCGCCGCTATCAGCCGCCGCCGCGTTTAAACGTTCGGCAAGTAGTCGCCACAATTTACTTGAACTGAAGCGCGAATATATAGATTGCTTGCCTGCAGCAAATTCGGGGTGCTCTTCCATAAACGAAAGCAATAAGTCTAACTGTTCCGAGCTCACTCTACATCTTGCTAAAACGGCACTCATTGCTGTGATACATAGCCGCAATCACCACCATTGATCGCCACACAAATAGGTTTTATATACTTGGGTTATTTAGATTGAATCATTTTGTAAACAAGTTTACTAGTTATTTCATTAAATTTATATGTAAATTATGATATAAAATTAAATATTTTTTTATTTACATTGCCATGTCTTGTCAGTCAATTAGTGTTGTCAATGTCAATGCCAACTCGAATATTATATAAAGACCTCGGTCCGTACCATAGATAAGGTCTATACACAGAAGTAATATATTTGAAATACAGTGATGTTCACTTTAACAATAAAGATTGTGTTTTCCTCTCGACTACAACCCACCGCCAATTCCTTGACAATGGCTTAATGGTCTGAGGCACTTGGGAGTCCTAGATCATGTGTCGTAATCAATCGATAGCAGGGGGGATTGTCAGTAATATGGTCTAATAGCCTTATTGCTAGCAATGAACCCTATCAAGTCGACCTCCACGCGGTTCCCACTGGAAACCATCGTGGTTAATTCTTGTGGAATTCGTCACGATGGGCTAACTGATCTGCTTTAATTTTTTTGCAATTCATTCTGCGATCGTTTTTTTTATGGATGATAATAAAATGATAACATCGCCTGCGCTATCGGTATCAAGTATTCTTGTTTTTAGATCGGTACACACTGGCGGGGCACCAGTGTGGGATGATAGGTGATCCATTGTGATGAATATAATGGAATTCAGCATGATGGTTTTCAGGGGGACCACGCATTACTAACAATCCATCCATTCCCTCCAACCATGATAGTTAATTCTTGAGGAATTTGTCACGATGGGATAACTGACCTATGCTTCATAATATATAAACCCTTGCTCTTGGGGGATAAGATCGTTAAAAAGACACTAGCCACCTCGTTTATAGCAATGTACTCCAGGACGACTTTCTCGCACTTCTCTCTGAAAACTATAGTGGCAAATTTTTAGTGAATTCGTTACTATGAGGCTACTGGCCTGACTTCATCACATCTATCATACCGCACTGGTACTCGGCTGGGCTAAATAAACTGTTAGCTGCTGGATGGAAATGCCATACTATTATCACCCTTAAAACAACTACTTTCTTTCCAATTCGATTTAGGGAAAGGATTGTTAGTAATGAAGACCCTTTAATAGATTAACAATCCTTTCCCCCAATGGATATAATCGCATAGCGTCATTGCTAGCAAAATACTCTATCAGGTCGACCTCCAGGCAGTTTCACCTGGATACCATCGTGGTTAATTCTTGCGGAATTCGTCACGATGGGGTAATTGATCTGCTTTCATACTTACATATCATCTCTCAATGGTACCTCGCCAGTGTATATCGATAGCGCGAGCAAGGTTGCCATTTCATTTTAACAAATATAGCAGATCTATTTATTAAGTAGAAAAGGTTCCATTTCCTAACATATTTTTTTTGCGTTGTTGATCCCTTCTGTAATTATAATAAATTGTAAATAGATATATTTTTTAAATAATAAATTTAATTAAGTAAAATGGTAACATAAGAATGGCTGTGTGGCAGATAAATGATAATAATCTATTAACGGCGATACGAGGCCTTGAATCGTATCGACATATTACCTAGACGTAAAATCTTGGTACTTACTATGGAAACCATAGCAACCAATAATAATTACAAAACTTGTTCTATGATGTTGATAAATACAATTTAAATAGAGTATCTTATTATTTTTGATATAATGGTCAATTTTTGCAGTTTAAAATGTATCTATAACTTTACATAAAGCGTGTATTAGCAAATTTCCAATTATATTATAGTGTATTACCAAATTTTTTGTTGGTTCAATAATGCCCACAACTTGTTTTTATTTACACATTATCATTCAATGCTTCCGAAAATGATTATTTTTTCAATAATGCTTATTAAAATGCGATTGTAACGCTGTGTACAAATGTATGTAGAATGTTCATAATAATATTTAACAACAGCATGTGATTGTTTTGGAGACATTATCTCCATTTGGGTAAAATAGCAATTAATTTAAAAAAAAAATTGCTATATCATGGTTTTCTTTTTGTGATAAATGGGCAGTACCAGTGTCTTTATAGTTTTTTAAAGTGAAATAATAACAGTGATTGTCGACGAGCGTGAACACGAGCACGACAGCGAGCGCAATGAATCGGTACATCGTGCTGCAACAACTGGGGGACGGGACCTACGGCTCTGTGGTGTTGGCGCAGCGGCGCGACACCGGCGAGAAAGTTGCTATTAAACGCATGAAAAGAAAGTATTACTCATGGGACGAGGCCATGAACTTGCGTGAAGTCAAATCGTTGAAGAAGCTTAACCATGCTAATATCGTGAAACTCCGTGAAGTGATTCGAGAAAATGACACTCTGTATTTTGTGTTCGAATATATGCGCGGTAACTTGTATCAACTTATACGGGATGCGGAACGTCCCTTCCCGGAGCCGGTTCTGCGAAACATTTTGTATCAGGTGTTGCAAGGATTGGCGCATATGCATCGGCATGGATTCTTTCACCGAGATCTCAAACCGGAGAATTTACTGTGTGCCGGTCCGGAACTCATAAAAATCGCCGATCTAGGCCTAGCTCGGGAGGTGCGTTCCCGACCGCCATACACTGACTACGTTTCAACGCGTTGGTATCGCGCGCCAGAAGTTCTATTGCACGACACGCGATATGGAGCCCCCATAGATCTATGGGCGCTCGGTTGTATAGCCGCTGAGCTTTACACTTGTCGCCCATTGTTTCCGGGTAACTCGGAGATTGATCAGTTGCATAAGATATGCGCTATGTTAGGTACTCCTGACCGCGACGAGTGGCCCGAAGGATACGCATTGGCAGAAGCGTTGCGTTTTCGCTTTCCTACGAATACAGGGGTGGCGATGTCGCGTGTGGTGCCCAGCGCGTCGCCGCCGGCCCTCGCGCTCTTGACCGCGCTGCTGCGCTATCCTCCACGAGATCGGCCCACGGCGCCCCAGGCGTTACGGTTCGTTTTATTATAATACATTCTATTTATTGATAACGGCATACAGGCAGTCTATTTAATGAAAAGCAGTAGCTAAACCTCTCCTATCAGGCATGAAGAACAACATGGATATCTCTGAATACAACTTTAGAATTAGTGCTGCCCGCGGCACCGCTCGTACGTTGCTATTTCTGAAAACAGTATTTAGTACAAATAATAAATTGACGTGATTTTTTTTTATATTTTATGAATCAATATGATTTTAGATTTCCTTATTTTGCTGTCGGAGCTGCTTTGATTCTACCGCTGCCGGCATCTAGAGCGAGAAGGTTCGTTGCTGATTGTTAACTGCGTAATATAATGGTCAGTAAGGTGGACACTGTGATCCGTATAGAATGTACTCTGTCAATAATCAGGAGCAGTAGAAGCGAGTTGGAGAACGCGGCCCCGCTGTCTCTGGTGCAGGGACCGGTGCCGGCGCCGCCGCAACCGCCGCCGGCTATCGTAGCTCCCGCGATGCCCGTCATAGTTCCACCTCATCGCGATCGATTCGCAGATATTCTTGGGTATCTAATCTACTACGTATACGTTTATAACTCAATGATTCGCGTCGGGTCACTTCTCTTTCTAATTTTTTACGTAATTTTTGTAGTTGGACTATTTTATTTTTCTACATATATGTATATATACATATACGACGACAAGTATAATTCTGTTGTCGTATCCTTGTATTTATAGTTGGTTTTTAAGTATGATAATTTTTTCAAGTGCATATATAAATATATGCACATTACTGTTGCCCGTCTCATGCGTTTGTCTGTATTCTGTCACTATGCGTGGAGACCTGTTATTGACTGTTTCTTATTATACCTATATTTACTCCTATTGTTGGAAAAGCTGTAGATATGTAAGATGTCTTATTGCAATTAATCGATTGCCCGCACTAACCTTGGGGTGGGTGACAACCATTTGGATTTTCTCTTATCACTGGTAACTGCATAACTAGAACGGGCGGTGTACATAGTAAAATTGTATACATATGTGACAGGGGCGAGGTGCTGCACGAGGTGGGCGGCGAGGAGCCGCTGCGGCAGGTGTCGGGCGCGGGCGCGGGCGCGCGGCGCGAGTACCGCGCCAGCGGCCGCAGCGTGCTGGCGGCGCTGCAGGCCGCCGCGCCGCCGCCCGCCGCCGCGCCGCGGCCCGCCGCCGCCGCCTACCTGGGCGCCTCGCGGTACGTCGCCGGCGGTCGCATCGACACCTCGCTCTTCCGACCGCTGCCGCTCCGAACGCACCGAGGTAGTTAAAATAGCAGCATGAACATAGTTTATCCTCACAGTTTAGACTTTAAAAAGTCGCGTCTTTCCCTCTACAACATTACTATTATATTATTACTCTATTTATTACATTATGGATTATGTTTATTGTTTTATTTATTTATTAAACAGTTACCTTTATTGTGGCAGAAGCGGCAGCGGTCGGCAGCGGTGCATCGCGGGTAGATTGGGCTGCCAAATATTTGCGTTGAGTACCCTTTACGTTGGTTATACTCATCAGATTCACCTCCGCTACGTGCGCTGTGCGCGCAGTATTGTACGCAGCAGAGCGGACAGTCGCAGTGATGTTGATACAAGCGAAGTATGAACACCATCATGACCTGTAGCGGGGTTACATGTATCAAATGACAATGTAAATGTATTCACATGTATATACACGTGATATAATACGGTGCTTGAGACAATACCCGGCATCCGTGACCTCAGACAAACTATATTGAAACTTATTATAGATGTAACTGGTAATATTCTGTCACCCGAGTGTCTTTCTAAATTAAATCATATTAGATGTTAAAGTAGTCCAGGTGTGAAACGTCCACCATTTTTGGTTGTTATGGTGAAATAGGATCGCCATCACACGGTGGCGCTAGTGTAGTAAAATACCTACTATCTACACGTTTGTAAAAGTTTAAAAACGTTGCTAGTAGATTTTAGTACATCAACATGACTGCAGCTCCTGAATATAATTTATTTACTAAAAAGAGGTTTATTATTATTTTATAATATGCACTTTTTGTAGTTGAATTATAAAGGAAAAGAAAGAGCAAACATTAATTCGTATTTCGAATTCGAGTACTTACCTACGTATTTAAGTTGAATTGATAATTATATTTGGGCGCCAAGCTAATTAATGCATTGAGATTTTTTTTTAACTGGAATTCTGTTCTCTCTTGATTTGGTGCCACATTTATTTTTTCATACAACGACATCTAGCAGTCTAAATTGTAATGTGACTTAATAAAGTATAAAACGTGTCATCCATCACGACCAGTGTTATCAAGAACAAGCAAATGTTAAACTAATAAAGTCAGAACATATAATTAATTTGAAATGTTAGGTTTTGATAAGTAGGTACTAAGTTTATAAGTGAAGTAATAAATGTTAAACTTTTGTTCACACTCGTATTTGATTTTGCATTCTATTACTGTTTTCATTAGTTCGTTTGTTTTAACACCCGCTGCCTTGAGAATTTGAATACCTTAAACTGTTTATATTTTTATTACATTTTTTTTTGTATGGATTTGCATTAAATTATTACTCAAATTTAATTCGTCTTGTCATTGATTATCCTAATTTTCAATAGGAAGATGTTGGAAAACTAGCCAACAGCCACCTGATGGTTCCACTCCAGAACTTGTCAGCATCATTCCAATAATTCATCATCTGGTGATAACTATAGATTCCGTGTCTAGTAGACAGACAGAGAATGTCTCTAGGCATATTTTTAATTTATAAACAATAACTTTAGCGGGTACAAGATATGATTTGGGATGGCGTACATGATGACGGCCCACTTGAGGGAAAGTGGTAACTGTCGCCTACACAGGGAAGAACAAATGAATAAGCATTCTTTTGAACACAGCTCGAAGTGTTAATTTTTTAAGCTCCTATTCCATAGACACAGTGCCAGTCGGTCGTCAAGTTAATACAATTTGTAAGTACAGATTTTATCCTATAGACGTAAACACTAAGTATCACAATATACTGTGAATACATTATGACGTCCATGGTAACTTCATGGTGGTCGCATATTTTTAAACAAATCTTTTTCAGGTGTTGTGTGGTGTATTTAAAATTTGTCTAAGAGTACATTATGCGCCTTTTTCATGGGGCCAGACCCCCTTCTAGGAAATAATCTTAAATAGCCCCATGGCACACCATAGAGGAAAATAGCTAACTTGTTATGAAATCTTTTTACATTGAGGCAGTAATTCGGCAGAGTAAGTCCAATCATTAAAGGTAGAAGTTCATCTTGGATTTGGATATATTGATGGACCATACCTGTCCCTGTGTTTACTCAATGGGACTGATTCTAAGTAACCGTTTCTCTAAACTTTATATCCAAAATTCAAATTATAATTTGATATTACAGAGAAATTGCTTTTCTAAAGGTCAATATGAATTATATTTGTAATCAATTTAAGTCATAATTATTACAAACTTAGTTTATTCAGTAAATAGTAATTTCGCAAAAATATAAAAATTAATATGAGATAGGTTTAGATGACACCACAGAATCGGCCCCGTTGTTTATTACATATTGATTAATTGTACAAAAGAATTTATAGAATTTCCTGCTGAATTTTCTTTTAAAATTTAAAAGAACTTAATTTTATTGTCCGAGTTTATGCAAGGAAATTTCTCTGTTATGTCCATTGTGGAGCGGCTATGAATAGTGCAATCATAGACCAAAGCAGTTGCTATAGCATTATGTCAACTAATTCCACAGAACAATATTCATAAAAGTGGTGGAACACATAAAGGTTCAGTTTCTTCTTAGCCTTATAAATTATTAATTTTAGTTCAGCCAATTTCAAAAAGTTCAACTGGGTGTGAATTTGATTTAAATTTATAATGTATTGTAATGTCTGATTATGTAACAATTCTAAAACTAGCATTAGTGCTTAAATAGCTGATATTTTTTAGAGATTAAAGCACTTTGTACATAATATATACATTTTTTGTTTTTCTTCTTATTTTACAATTTAAAATTATTTGTATAATAACTACCTAATAGGAGCTAGTAATATTAATCAAATATTATCGAGCTCTCTAGCAATATACTGACACTTATAGTTTGTTCAAACTTCTAGTTAAGGGCATTATGAAAATTATAAAAGTCTGAAATAAAAATTATTATTATTATTATAAGTAGGTTTTTTTTTATACAACTTAGAATGACAAACAAGCTGACGGCCCACCTGATGGAAAGTGGTAACCGACGCCTATAGACATGAGCAGTACCATGGGAATAACAGAGTATTAACGGTTTTGCTCATAATACCCTTCATGAGTTGTCATTCCTGAGGATTCAGATGTTATTTTTCTGTACCCTGGAAATCACTGCCATATCCCACACTTCAAACCGAAATACAGCCATGCAAACATGACTACTTACACGGTAGAAACAGAAATGGGACAGAGGTACCTAAGCAAACAACTTTTGTACAAAGTCTCCTTCTAGAAGAGTTTAAGATATTAGATTAATTTTGACAGGAGATTATTACCAAGCTAATAAATTGGTAAATGTAATAATTGTGTTGATGAATTAAGTATGTATAGTTTCTGATGTTGATAACAAATAAGCAGATCAGATGATCAATTCAGTACTGTTTGTATGCACATCTCCAATAATATATTTTAATAACTATTAAGTTGGAATTTTATAACAAGTTTTTGGTACTAGAAAGCAACAACAGAACTTTTATTTAACAAAGTCTGATTTTGTGTTATAACTGTGTACAAAGTTGTGCTGTATTGTACTACATCTATAAGTTCCTGTTCTTATGGCTGCATAAGAATTGTGAGTCTCAAGAATGATAATATAACACAGACCATTCCCATACCGACCTTGTAACTCCTCATATTGATCATTAATGCATAGCGTGTGGCTACATTATATACTTTGCTATTATCAGTGCACACAGTCGGCTAGTGTGCTGCTGTTGTACCTACAGTAAATTAATAACAAAGCATTAACTGAAATACAGATTGACAACTCCATACTATATTATATTATTTACACATTTAGTTTCATATAAAATTTGACAGCGATCAACAATTATAGTATCAGGCGACACTGGACAGTATATACAGGGAGTCACTCGTACTTGAGGTAGAGCTTGGTGTCGAGGGGCGCGGGCGGCGCGTGCGAGTGCACGGCGGGCGGCTGCTGCGGCGCCGGCCAGTCGCCCGCCGCCCAGTTGAACACGCGCGCGCCGCCCTCCACCAGCCCCCAGCCCAGCAGCTGCGAGCCGCGCGCGCCGCGCTCGCGCTTCGGCGATGCCGTCGAGATGTTTACTGACACGCCCTTGATTATGTGGTCTTGGCCGCACAGCGACTGCGCTACCTCCGGGTCCAGGAACGTCACGAAACTGAACGCGCGGAACGGCCGTGGCACGAACACGTCCGTCACCTGACCGAACGCGCCGAAGTACTCGCGCAGGTCCTCAGCGGTGAGGCTCTCGGTGCAGCGGCCGACGAACACCTTGCGGTGCGCGGTCGCGCCGCCGTCCTTGCCGTTGGGGATGCGCACGTCGCACCAGCGGCCGTCGATCATGTGTCGCCGTCCGAGTGCCCGCACCTGTGCCTCGTAGTCCGCGAACTTGATGAAACCGAAGCCCTTCGACAGTCCGGTTTTAACGTCTCGTTTCACCTGAACCATGAGCAGCTCCCCGAATGCGGAGAAGTATTCTCGAACGGCATCTTCGCCCGTCTTCCAAGGTAAACCGAGTACAATCAAGTCGGAGCAGCGCGGTCGAGGTGTAGGCGTCGGCGAGGCTCGCGGAAAGGCGCACCAGTAGCGGTGCGCGGCCCAGCCCTCGGCTGGAGGAGACAGCCGCTCGTCTACGAGGCGAACGCCGCGCAGACGGCCACCCGCTCGGTACTTCAAGCCGCTAGCGGTCGCAAACTGTGCCGCTACTGTACTTAGTAGCAGTGAGCCGTCTTCTTCTGTTGGCAACTCGATGGGCTCGTCCTGCTCGCCCTCGCTAACCGGCACGTACTCTATCGACATTTCGCTCACCGCTCAACTCGCTCTTTCCGATTCTTCATCTCGTTTACATTATATGTAGCTGTAAAATATTCCTGAGACGGTTTAGGTTTCTAAATTACGATTTTTTCAATCGTCCCCTGCTACGTTTGCTTTGTACGCGTGACGTATGACGCATGACGTGACGTTTCATGTCAAATGATACTATTTTGGGTATGAAGTGTTACAAACATATTTTCAGATTTACGGGCTATATCGAAATAAAAAGCATTTCTTGGGCTACATTATTCCAATTTTTAATATTTTAAAAAAGAAATTAAATATGGCATTACTTTTAGAGACCATAAAGTAAATAAGTAGTTTAACAATGATTGTAAATATTGAGACCTGACTCTTCACTTTGTATGATACTTATTGTAATGGGTTTACATACTTAATCTATGATAGCTTTGTCTATGTTAGTCAGTCTTTGTAAGTCATTAATTCAGGGTTATCAATGCGACATGGAACTATTTAGTTTTTGTAATTATCGCTTAAAATAAATAAAAGTGACTTGAATAATAGTTGTATACTTAACATTATACTTATTATAGTTTTGTAAATAAAAATGATTTAGTTTTTTGAAATATTAGGTTATAAATTGTTAGTAAGAATTAAATCTATAGTCTTTGAGGCTTAGTGATAAAATGTTAGGTGTTATAACGAAAAAATTTGGGGAATTTGTCCAAAATTTTTATAACAATATTATATTATTTATGGTTCAGGTTACAGACTATCTACAACCTATTTAAAAATTCAGATACAATCATTAATCTATGGTTGACTCTGGATCAAATTTGTCCAAAGATTCAGTACTTGTCTCTTTGGATCCGTAAACGATTATATTTTTTATTTCTAGTAGCAACATCTTAGGTATATCTATTCTGTGGGTTACTATTAGTCTATATTAGTAGGTAAGTTCCTAGAAATCTTTGTTAAGTTCCTAAGAACAAGTAAGTTCTCCAATTGTCCATGCTAGTACCTATCTAAAAATAAAGATTCCTATGATTAAATATAAAATGTCAAGTATCTAACCTTTTTTTATTAGCGATTCTTTGTATAACGTACTGTGATACCTGCGCTGTGATTACTTGTTTTGTGATTCTTTGATTTTATTTAATGTTAAAGACAGACCTAAATTATTTTTTGTCAAAGAGTATACAGTCTTCACAATATAATTTTTTGCAAGTTTCCGGTGATAACTATCCTCCTTTCCGCTTACATAATTAGGTTATCTGCACTGATATTTTCAACAAATTTCAACTGATTTTAATAATTCTTTTGATAACAGGATAAGAGGGAAAGGGATTGTTATTAATGCGGACTACTAGACCCATTGCTAGCATTATACTCTGTGAGGTCAACTTCCAAGTGGTCTCCCCCCCTTGAAACCATCGTGCTGAATTTCAGGCGTATTCATCACGGTGGGCTAATTGACCAGCTTGGGGGAAAGGGTTTGTTAGTAATGGGATCTAACTGACCCATTGTCAGCAACACAGGTTGTGTTCAGGTCGTCTTCCACGTGGTTTCCCCAGGAAACTATCATGATTAATTCTTGTGGAATTCGGCGCGATGACTTGCCTATCATCTCTCACTGGTGCCCCGCCAGCGTATACCGATAGCGCAGATGGAGTTACCATTCCATTATTACCCATTAAGAACTGACCGGTTTTCATTCTCACCTATCATCCCTCACTGGTGCTGATGCTTTACGCAGGCGGGGCTACTATAGTTTTAGGTTACATTCCATCATCCATTAAAAAAAAATAGATAGGATGGTTACTTCTTGCACTTTTTTCCCCAATTTCTTATGGCGGAGCGGACGGGATTATAAGTAAAGAAGTTAGTCCTGTTATATGGTCTCTTTGAAAATCATCGTGAACAATTCGTAGAGGATTTGCTACAACGGGTCAACCAACCTGACTTCATTTTCATTAACATTGTATAACGATACAAAGAAAGAATTCACTGCGGGGAAAAACACTTTTTGAATTATTTACTCGTATTTTAATGGCGATAATATGTTGTCATTTGGGACTAGGACGGCGTGTATGTTACTGCATTCGGTATAGTATAACCATAACCATTGACTTAGTAGGTACATATCAATAAGTTTTTTTTTCTTTTCTTTTTTTTTACTTTATGTTTGGTACGTTCTTGTGTGGCTCCCATTGAGTACCTCGATATCAGTAGTAATAAGTATTAGCACGATCACCAAAGGGAGACTTTGTACAAAAGTCGTTTGCTTGGGCACCTCTGTCCCATTTGTGTTTAAACCATGAAACAGTTGTGTTTGCACGGCTGTGTTTCAGCGTACAGACGAATAATACCTGAGTCCTCAGGAATGGCATCGCATGGGGAGTGTATCATGGGCGATGAGTGTATCTGTGCAACAGACCAATCGATTTAATATGTATGTTCTATTGGACGACTGCCTATACTGCTGCGTATAATAAAGTGTTGGAACAGTACAGTAATGATAGACAATGACAGAAAATCGCACATGTATGGATGATAGATGATGATACATTATAAAATTTCCATTATTTATATTATACTATTATTCATATTATTAAAATCTTTACTCATATAATGACATTTAATAATTTAATTCTATTTTTATGTTTATCAAACACAAAGCATATTGTGGTGGCCTATAAATGTAAGAACAGTTAGATCTAATCTACCAGTGTATTGTATTGAAATGTTTCACTGTATCTTATGTTGGTAATCCTATAAATAAATAAATTTGGACAATTTATATAAGGATAAATATCTACCATCGTACGGCTCGCCATCGACAGAGAGTTCATCCTCATGTCCTACAGCTTCAATGGTCGCGTACTGCGCGGTTTCAGAGATGTTTCCTCCCACGAACACTCAGGTTGTGGAATGAGCTCCCTGCCGAGATTTTCCCAAGAGACTACAGCATGGGGTTCTTCAAAAGGGGGGTAAAGAAGTTTCTTCGGAGTCGGCAACGCACGCGTAATACCTCTGGTATTGTAGGTGTTCATAGGCTACGGTAACCACTTACCATCAGGTGGGCCGTATGCTTGTTTGCCACCTCAGTGGTAAAAAAAAAGGATAAATATATTGAGTAAGATGTTGTACACAATTGCGAGCCATCCGGTGCCGTTCATTCATTAAAAATACAATCATCATCACCATATCAGCTGTCTAATGTCCACTGCTGAATATGAGCCTTCCCCAGAAGGGGACATTTGCCAGTGGTTGCTATGTTTGGCAGGCGGGTTGGCAAATGCAGTTAGGCTTTAAAGATGCTTTTAGAGGGACGCTGCTGCCCATTCCACGCCCTCCCTTAGTCGCTTGTTACGACTCCTACAGGAAAGAAAGGGGTGGCCTATTTTATGCCGGGAACAGACGCCTAAGAACAATACAGTACCCAATGGGGGGAAAGGGATTGTTGGCAATGGAGTTTGACAGCCTCATTGCTAGCAATATACCTTATTAGGTCGACCGCCACCTGGAAACCATCGTGAACAATTCTTGTTAAATTCGTCACGATGGGCTAACTGACCTGCTTCATCCTTACCTATCATCTTTCACTGGTGCCCCGCCGGTGTATTTATTTTATGTTATTTTTTTATTTATTTATCATTAGTGAATATCGATAGCGTGGGTGGGATTACCATTCTATTATCGTCCATAAAAAAACAAAACAGTACCAATAACATAAGCCGTAGGTAGTCTGCTAAAATGGTTAACGTCTGATTGTAAGTGTATCAATGACGCTGTACCGCATTGTTATTGTAATATGCGCAAATACTTCGTTTATTACGCAAATGATATTTAAATAATAATTAACATATTTCAATTATACCGATGAGAGATAATGGAATTGAAAAGTCAGAAACATACCAGAGAGAACATAAGTTATTATTAACTCTAATTTGAAATGGGCACATTCACAAGCGAGCGGATGTCGCTGTGTCGCTGTGTCGCTGAGTGACCGTCCGCGCGTCCGTCCGCGCGAGTGTCGCTGTAAACTGTTTCAATAGAACTTAATTAAAATGTAAACAGACGGATAATGGACACGACTATAATAATGTCTATGACAGTTTACATATGTTCAATAGAAATATAAATTAGAAATTGATCATTCGTATCGATTTGTTGCTAATTTCACTTACGAGTGTTTTCGTGATAATTTCAACACAGCTTAGTTACTTGTTCATTAAATTCTATTGAAACTAAATCAATCAAATATTTTATATAAAGCATTACAAATATGGTACATAATTGATTTTTTTTTAATTTTATTTTACTTTAATAGGGAAACATACAATACCTAAAACAAATAAATAATAAACACAGCCATAACTGATTTATTTGATGTATTAATAACTCAGTGAAGTTTCCACAATGAATTAACACATCAAATAAACGAGAGCAGATGGTTATTATAAAAAAATACAATACAAAAAAAGAAAAGAAAAGAATTAACATATCTGCCCGATAGTGGTGTACAAATAATTTTAACTAATTATATATATATATATTTAAATTATTTGCATTATTGTGCTACCCTAAAAAGTACTCCGCACCGCGTACTTAAAATTTTTTTATGATATGGAACTTAGGATGACTAGCAAGCTAACCGCCTCCCTGATGGAAAGAACCAGTCACTACAGTGATGTGTGGCAACACATATTATGTGTATGTTTGTGCCGGAGAGGTTTTTAGATGATAATGAAATGGTAACCCCTGCCTAACGGTATACGCTGGCGCGGCAACAGTGAGGGATGGTGATAATGAAAAAGCAGGTCGGTTAGCCCATCTGGAATTCAGCACGATGGTTTTCAGGGGACCGCATGGAGGTCGACCTGATAGAGTATATTGCTAGCAATAAAGCTGTTATATCCCCGTTACTAACAAATCTCTTTCCCCCGTGCTGGAGAGGTTGAGAGAGGCTTGTGAAAAACGGCACGCCGTATATGCGGGGTTCGGACACAGCAGAGATGGAAGTCTTGTATTGTGTGTGCCGATGGGCGATGGAGGAGCTGTCGCCGCGACGACACGAGCTGCGACTCTCGGCTCGCGTGTGAACGCCAGCGATTAGGGTTCTGTAGCAATTAAAAAATCCGAATGTAAAATACGGTTTTAACATTTTACGGGTCACATCTTATTTTCTATCTTCCTAGAAAGATTGGTACAGAACATAAAGAGTTACCAAATCAAATTAGAGTTCGTCTTTAAACTGCTATTGCTAACTACTACTTGTTTTTTAGTATTTCGTCATAGTCGTAGAATACTGACGGATCTATATATATGTAATATTTGTCATTTGAATCTTAATAAAACAGATGCCCTTTTAATACCGATAATGTTAAGTTTCTGTAGGCGCGTAGCGTGATACAGGACCGCTGGCTACGGTCTCTACATCGCTCAAATCAGTTTATTTTTGGGGAAAACATTTTTATGACAATATCTTTGTATTTTTTGTTTACTTACTAAGCACTTGCTCGTATTACACAATTTTTTTTTTAAATATATAAGAATCAAATATTTAAGAAACTACACTATTTGCACAAACGTAAAATACTTTTTCTCTAAATCGATATGATTTCTTCACTTTTACCCAATCACAAGCTTGTATGAATACCCTACGTTTGCTATGTACCACAAAGAGAACGAGAAAAAAATTTCGCCCTTCCCTACATTTCTATTCAAAACTTCTCCTGCCCTCTCTATTCACATCCAGAGAAGGAGACTGTGACAAAGAAGCAAAATGTGAGAATGGGACTTGTCCCAGCTTCGCATTTTGCTACCTTCATTCGTTATTTTATTATATTATATACAGCTGCACGGTTTATAAGTACCAATAAGGTTGTGTCCATAAAAAACCGATTTCAATTGTGGCAAACAGTTATGTTGACTCAAAAACTATACTACCGTACCGAAGTTGATAAATTTCCATGGGAGCAATCTGTAAGTATATCCTATATAAAGAATTTTCCTAATCAGTTCATAACTGATAGAGTTGTGAGTTAACAAACAAAAAAACACAAAAAAATTAAACCGAATTGAGAAGCTGTATATGTATCATAAAATAAATTATGTACAATATAGCCCAGAGATTGTATGGAAGCTTCATGATCTTACGCTCTATTAATAAAAATTGTACTGTATTGTGAAATTTTCTATGTATAATTACATACTTTACATTAAAATGATATATACAGTAGTGGACTTATTCCATAAAGGAATCTCTTACAGGCAACCTTTGAGAAGATGAAAAAAAAAACTATAAATATTCGAAGGTAAAAACTGTACAGCTAATGAGAAAACTTAATAATACCTAGTTAAAATTAAACATAATATTCCATATGTATATGCTAATAATAAGTAATTGATTACACCTACATATATAAATAATATCAATGAACCTATACATATAAATATATGCATATAAACAATACGTACTCGTACATAAATATATGTCCAAAATTGCCTCGATGTTTTAGAATAAAATTGTATGATACCTGTTTAAAAGTATTTTTTTTATTGTGCCACTTTCAAGTAAATGACTTAGCATTACTTTGAGTATTAAAACGGGGCATATTTTTAATTAAGTCGTTACTGCATATGAACCGCACATCAATCTCGCGAAACCTGAATCTTTCATAAATATTTCTAAAAATATGTGTACTTCCCCACGAGTGCAGCTGAGGGTTAAAATTATTTTGCAAGATTTAAAAAATAACTTTTAGATTAATAACATTTTTTAAATAACTTAAGATTGCGTAACAACTTTATAATTTTACACACAATTAGTATAGTTAGTTTCGACAGTACATAATAAATTAATAATTGACTTGACCATAAGTTAGTACGCTGTTGTTCAATATCTGCATTGATCAAGAAATAAATAATTAAGCAGATGTTTCGATTTGTTACTATTTATTTTTATTATAATACACGACATGTGAGCACACCACCCTGAGCAAACACAGAGACGACATGGTTCATCAATACGGGTAACCGAAAAGAGAATGTTCCACTTTCGACGATAGGCCGCATTATCACAGTATCATTAAGTGCTTTTTCACGTTACATTTGAAGGATCCGAGGTTTGTTGACTGTTTTTGTCAAAATAACAACGAAATTTTATTATTTCTTAATTAATATCTTTTGAAACTGTACAACAAAATTGTAAGATTGTTGCATAGCAATACGGAACCCTAAAGTAGATCGTTTAATAATTACCAAGAATGCCATCAATAATATATACAGAAGCCAAATGAATAACTTAATATGTGTCAAGCGGTTTACACTGGACACACACACAGAGTATAGTAAGTGTGGTCTTATCTCAAGTATATACTATAAATAATACACGAACGTCTGCAGTAAGTAGCACTTAGTTTTCTGTAGTTATCAATCGATTTCTAAAAAAGAAAATTCGTATTTTTTTATGTTTGTCACCTCGTAACTCCGTCAGTTAACTGTAAATAAACCGTAAAAAAAGAACGATTTGGAAAATCTTTTTTTCATCTGAAAGGATTATAAATTTTATTCCAAACGACGGTAGTTAAGTTTTTAAATCAAAATAATTGCTTTTGTCACTACATTGAAGTCGGTTCGTTCGTTGATAGAACGAGAAATAAATAATAGTTTATGTACGTATATTTTTTTATACATCTTAGAATGGCAAATAAGCTGACGGCCCATCTGATGGAATGTGGTAATCGTCGCCTATAGATATGAGCAGTATCATGGACATAACAGAGTATATTGTTTCGCCCATGATACCCCTCATGCGTTGCCATTCCTGAGAACTCGGGTATTATTCCTCTGTACCCTGTAAATTCACGCCATATTCCATCCTTCAAACCGAAACACAGCCATGCAAATACAACTGCTTCATGATAGAAACACGAATAGGACAGAGGTACCCAAGCAATCGACTTTTGTACAAAGTCTCCCTCTGGTAAATTAATAAAATATCTAAATTAATAAAGAGAAATGATTCTTATTTGTAATGGGCAAACTCAAAAAATACTGAACTGATTTTACTAATTCTTTTACCCTTGGCGTTATATTTTCCAGGGGTGCCTGATCCCTTAAAACAGGTGAATATGTACTCTCAGACTTGTCTTTGCGAAGCTTTGCTCGATTTCTGGAGTGGGTACCTGTAAATTATGAAGTGAATACCGAAATTTTAAACCACGGTAGGTTTTTGGTACTTGTTTTTACTGACTACATTACAATTAGATTATCGAATTACCTTTAATTCAGACTTTCAATCTCTCTCATATTGGGACACAAAACGAATACTCCACGCCAATGTAAGTGTAGGGACAACGTCAATACATTAAGCTATCACGGTGTCTCCTGACTTAAGAGCGCTGGGCGTTAGTTGCGCCACTTAGCTATCAATGACATCAACGGCCGGCTTCTTGTCATTGTGGGTACGCCCGCTAATCTAGAACCACTTGGTTTGACACGTGGCGATGACAAGAGATCCGATGGGATGTCAATGGCTTAGAGGATGGGACGACCGCGACCGTGAGGGTTAATATGCTGGCGCTGTTTCACCTTCCAAGTAGGTCCGGGATAGCAGGTATTACCGCAGTACATCGACGTTATCAAGTACCGTAAGTATTTATTAGTTTGCAGTTGGGAATCTTGAGACCGTGGGGCTCAGAGGTCATAGATTTTTTCAAACAAGTATCCAGCGGCTGACAGAAACCTCTGGAGACTAGAAAGCTGCTTATATATATATATATATAAATATATATATATATACATACATACATATATATATATATATATATATATATATATATATATATATATATATATATATATATATATATATATATTATTAAGGACCAAGTGATAAAAGGGTCATTATAAAAATTGCCTGGGCATTATGAAAAATGACCAATATGAGATGACAATTTGATAACAACAAAAGAGCTAGTAACAACTTTAATACTCATTCTAAGTCTTAATATCGACTTATTTTCGAAAAATATAATATCAGCGAGAGACCAACTGAGTAATCAATTTTTTTTATTCATACTCTGTTTAAATACGTATTGTATGGATGAGAAGGCCACATGGTAATCAAATATTTGTATTTCATTCATTATTATTCATTCATATTCATTCCTTTTATTTGTTTATAATTGTTTTTTTTTTGTCAATTCCTATTTTTTTTTCTGTGTGTGCAGCGCCTTTTGTACTACTGTATTGTTGCTATTTGTGAAACTCTATTATTGGCTTGGTTTAAGATCCTAAACTATATCTATTTGCTCTGGTGTAGTCCTGGTTTTCCTGTAAATAAACAAATAAATAACTGTTCAAATAATTATTTAAATAATTAAATTATTCGGGTATTATACAGAATGTCTATCACATATGAGGCAGAGTAATAAAAACATGTTTCGTTACTATTGTTTTTAATTTTGACGTTAAATCTAAATAAACGTCATGATTTTTAGGTTGGGTTAGGTTTAGGTTTATTATATAAACCTAAACCTAACCCTAATAATGGTCGAGTATTTTGTATAATGCCCTTATTAATTACATGGTCCACAATATATATTTTGGCCAAGGCATATTTAACGTTATTCATTGCGGCAATGCGGCCGGTCTCCTAGCTACTCTACCTTGTAGTCGGCAGTGACCTGAAATAATTGTTTTATTTCATATGGTAAATATATTTTTATAGAGCTAACGATAACACATTAATTATATTCTAAAATTAGTTTTGAAGGTATTAGTAGTTGCTGAGATATGGCTCTATAACAAAGACGCCAGACATTCGGATGGACGCACGGACATAGGAAAATCCTGATAAGGATCCTGTTCTATGCTGATTTTTAACTACAGCCCTAGGGTTTAAATAACTTCCTTAGATAAGTCGTAATAAGTGTAATTAAATGAATAAATGCTTATTGCGAGATGTATATTAAACACGGCTAGATATTTCGTACACGATATGAATTTACACATGTTGCGTGATCTTTACACATACATATAGTGTACAGCCATTATTTTACCCCCGTCCGTCTCTTGATTGAAGCACGTGAAGTGCAATACCTGTGATAAACATGATTGTATGTTATTTAATTATCATAAATAAAGACCATAAGAGATTTTGCATGGTATCTTCCGTTACGAAGGAGTACTATTCTGTATTTATGCATTTGCTTCCCTATATAGTTCATTTGATTACAGAAAGTGAAATTGCATTAGTTCGAAGATGCCCAGTGCAACGGTGAACGGGTTTCAACGAGGCAGCAAGAATGCAGGAGACGTGGTGATAACGGGCCTGTCGGGTCGCCTGCCGGAGTCCGACACCATCGACGAGTTTGCGCAGCAGCTCTTCGACGGCGTCGATCTCGTCACCGCTGACGACAGGCGCTGGACTCCCGGTACTTTTGTGCCTTTACGTTTCTCTCACTAACTCTTAATGAGTTTAGTTAATGGTTTATTTCTGTTTGAAAGATATATCGCAGTGGAGTCCACGTGCGTAAAAGAATCGAATTTATGAGATATTATCCGATTGTGGAAGGCAATGTGACAGGTAGTGGGGTTGTAGAGACGACTGTGAGAGACAGATGTAGAGTAAAGAATAAGTGAACTGTACAATTAAAAATAAATCCTTTAGTTTATAATTATATAATGGATATTTTTAACAGGTCTGTGTGGATTACCAGAACGTAATGGAAAACTGAAAAACTTATCGCACTTTGATGCTACTTTCTTTGGCGTTCACGCAAAACAGGCGCACAACATGGACCCGCAGCTACGTATGTTGCTAGAGGTGACCTACGAGACTATAATAGACGCCGGGTTCAACCCTGTCGAACTACGTGGTACTCGTACTGGCGTTTATATTGGTGTCTCTAATTCAGAAAGCATTGACATGTGGACCCAGGATTTGGAGAAGGTTAATGGCTATGCTCTCATCGGATGCCATGGTGCAATGTTTCCCAATCGCATATCTTACACGTTTGATTTCAAAGGTCCGTCGCTTGCGATCGACACTGCTTGCTCTAGCTCTATGTCAGCTCTCGTTCAGGCCGTAGACGCAATAAAATCGGGTCATTGCGACTCGGCAGTTGTCGCTGGTACTAATCTTTGCCTGAACCCTGGTTATTCAGTCGGCTTTCAACAAATGAATATTCTGTCACCGGAGGGGCGCTGCGCATCGTTCGACGCGGAGGGCCGCGGGTACGTGCGCTCGGAGGCGACGGTGGCGGTGCTGCTGCAGCGGCGCGCGCAGGCGCGGCGCGTGTACGCCGCCGTGCGCGGCGCGCGCATGAACACGGACGGCCACAAGGAGCAGGGCATCACCTACCCCGCCGGCGACATGCAGCGCCAGCTCGCCGCCGACACCTTCCGACAGGCGGGCCTTCGGCCGCAGGACGTCGTCTACGTCGAAGCTCACGGCACTGGCACCAAGGTTCATATTAGTAGCCGCAACTCGGGATTTTATATTATTAATTATTTTTTAATTACAATTTTTATACCACTTTAGTGTGGCAAACAATCTTACAGCCTATCTGATGGTAAACAGTTACCGTAGCCTATGGACGCCTGCAAAATACCAGGAACATTGCGCGCGCGTTACCGACCCTGAAGAAACTTCTATACCCCTTTTTTAAGTACCCCATGCTGTAGTTTTTTGGAAAAATCTCAATAGGGAGTTCATTCTGTAACCTTAGCGTCAGTAGAAGAAAATATCTCTGAAACCATGTTGTACGCGATCATGTAGTATTTATTTCATGTCATGGGTTTGTCCACTTTCTTAAGAAATTTCTTTCAAATCCATACACTCCTTTAAAATTAAGAAATATCTAGAGCCTAAATGGTCGGGCATCTAGAATTTGAAAAATAGCTGAATATTTTTATTAGAATTAATTGTCACTATTCCATTTCAGGTGGGCGATCCGCAGGAAGTGAACGCAATTGCTGAACTGTTTTGTAAAGACCGGAAGACTCCACTACTGCTGGGCTCGGTGAAATCTAACATGGGACACTCGGAGCCCGCATCGGGCTTGTGTTCGATCGCCAAAGTATTGATCGCAATGGAAAAGGGTGTTATTCCTGGAAATCTGCACTACAAAACTCCTAACCCAGACATCCCAGCACTTAGTGATGGCCGAATTAAGGTACAGTTCTTTTAAATTTTTTATACCGCTGAGGTAGTAAACAAGTATACGGTCCACCTGATGATAAGCGGTTATTGTAGCCTATGAACACCTGTAATACTTGGAGCATTACACGCATGTTGTCGACTCTGAAAATACCTTTTTTACCCGGGGGAAAGAGATTGTTAATAATGGAGTCTAATAGCCCCACTGCTAGCAATATACTCCATTAGGTCGATTTCCACGCGGTTCTCTGCTTTCATCTAGTTAGCCATTAGCGTATACCGATAGTGACGGCGACGTTACCATTCTATACTCACCCATTAAATAAAAATCTCTTTACCCTTTTTTCTTTATGGTTACATTTATATACTTTTTATTAAACAAGTGAGATTTCATTCCGTAAAAAAGCGGCCTTTGCTCGTGAGTAAATCAATATAGAATTTACACTGGAAAAAAATTGTAAAATACAAGTAGGTTCAAAATTGGTGAAAAAATGTATGAAAAAATACTGACTTCTCGTTTTTATATTGTCTAATAAAATGTAATATGGAAATAACATTGTATATACGAGGATATGCTAGTATATTGTACCAAAACGGAGTTCGTACCGAAGGTGGTGGACCGCAATACGCCGTGGAAGGGCGGGCTGGTGGCGGTGAACTCGTTCGGGTTCGGCGGCGCGAACGCGCACGTGATCCTGGAGTCGGACGGCGCGGAGGCGGAGGCGGCGGCGGAGGCGGCGGCGGAGCGCGGCGCGGACGCGCTGCCGCGGCTGGTGCTGGCGTCGGGCCGCACCGAGCCCGCCGTGCGCGCGCTGCTGCAGCTGGCCGCCGAGCACGCCGCGCACGCGCCCCTGCACGCGCTGCTCGACGCCGTGCACGCGCGCGCCGTGCCCGGCCACGCGCACCGCGGCTACCGCGTGCTCGCCGACCCGCCCGTCGAGGAAATTATAGTAAGCGCCATCCTCCACTTTTTCTTTTGCGCTAAATGCTCAAGTCGAAAGGGAGTGACGAAGCACTCTAATAATTAAAATAGATTTATAAGAGGATTTAGTTTTTATGAATAAGATCTAAGGGCTTATAAATTAGGTTAAAAAGGAAATTAAACTTTATTAAATGCGTAGACCTGTAGAAATACGATTAACAAAGTAGGCTAGCATTCTATTCGCTGCGCAGGAACTGGAGAGCGGCGAGCCGCGGCCGATCTGGTTCGTGTTCTCGGGCATGGGGTCGCAGTGGGCGGGCATGGCGCGCTCGCTGATGCACGTGCCGCCGTTCGCGGCTGCAGTGGAGCGTGCGGCTGCCGCTCTCCGGCCGCATGGCGTTGACCTGCAGCACATGCTCACTGACGCGCCCGACATCGCTTTCGAGGACGTCGTCAACTCCTTCGTGTCCATTGCGGCCGTGCAGGTAGCACTTGTCGACGTGTTGCGCGCCGTCGACATTCGCCCCGACGGCATCGTCGGACACTCCGTCGGCGAACTAGGTCAGTTCACTGCGCCGAGAGATAAAATGTTTGGAAACATATCTGCGTCGAACGAGTTACGATATATTGGCAATTCGTGTGTACAGGGTGCGCGTATGCGGACGAGACCCTAACGGCGGAGCAGGTCGTCTTGGCAGCGTACTGGCGTGGGCGCAGCATCGTGGAGTCTGCGCTGTCACCGGGCGCGATGGCTGCTGTCGGCCTCACGTGGGAGCAGTGCGCCAAGTGCTGTCCGCCCGACCTAGTGCCCGCATGCCACAACGCCGCCGACAGTGTTACAGTGCGTACCAGTTATAGATTCGTAAAATTCACCTGTATGATATTTTTTTTAATTCACAATGACAGATAGTGCACCACCTCTTCTTCTTTATCTTTTTTCTCAATGTTCTCTACTCACATTGTGTTGTCTAGAAGAGATTGCTTAATAAAAGTCACATTTTATATAATTTATCATTAAAATTTACTGTATTTGTTGTTTTTTAAATGATACAATAAAGTGTAAATAATTAAATAAAAACTAAATAAATGGGACGTTCGGGAGTTAAATTGTATTAGTCCCTAATTTTGAACATAATATATTTTAATATGGAATTATTATATGTATACGTGTCTTAATAGGTATCTGGTCCAGTTCCGTCAATAGAGAAGTTTGTGGCCGAGTTGTCGGCGGCGGGAATATTCGCGCGCCTTGTGAATAGTAGCGGCGTAGCGTTCCATAGCAAGTACATCGCGGCGGCTGCGCCGCTGTATCGCGACCGTCTGCGAACCCTCATACCCGATCCCAAACCGCGTACGTCGCGTTGGGTCTCATCCTCGCTTCCTAGAGATCAGTGGAACTCGGAAATCGGTTAGTACGTTTTCCGATTTCACTGTACAAAATGTGCGTGCGAGGGGAGCGTGACGTAGAGTGACCGCGGACCGATCGCGTTGCAGCGAAGCTGAGCGACGCAGAGTACCACGTGAACAACATGCTGTCGCCGGTGCGGTTCGCGGAGGCGCTGGCGGCGGTGCCGGCGCGCGCGCTGGTGGTGGAGGTGGCGCCGCACGCGCTGCTGCAGGCGGTGCTGCGGCGCGCGCTGCCCGCGGCCGCCGCGCACGTGCCGCTCGTGCGCCGCGACCGGCCCGAGCCGCGCGTGCAGCTGCTGGCCGCGCTGGGCCGGCTGTTCGCGGCGGGCGCGCAGCCGGCGGCGGGCCGGCTGTACCCCGCGGCGGCGTGGCCGGTGCCGCGCGGCACGCCGGGGCTGGCGGCGCGCGTGCGCTGGGACCACTCCGTGCAGTGGAGCGTGGCGCACTTCGGCGCCGCCGCGCGCTCCGGCGAGCACGTCGTCGAGCTCGACCTCGCGCGCGCGTCTGACGCCTACCTCGCCGGCCATCGTATAGGCGGCCGCGTGCTCTTTCCTGCTGCTGGATACATTGTGAGTCGCTTAATGTAGTAATTTATCTAATATATTTCACACTCGCTTTTACGCACAATTTCGTTTATCTGGCCGAAAAATGTTCACTGAACGGAACAAAAGTAACCTATTCTATTCTGTATCTCATATAAATGATAATAAAATGTCTCGATTTAACTGCTGAATTATACAGACTATTTTATTTGACATACTTAAATGCCTGCGTGTACAAATAACTACATTGGTTGTTTAATATTACAAATTGTACGGGTTTCATACAATGTATATACTAAATTTTGAACTAATTTATTTAGCTGTTAAGACGCTAAAATTACTCTCTTATTTATAATATCACATACGTATATGTCACACTTGTCTCCCATTAGGGTAGGCAGAAACAATGGAACGCCAAATGTTTCGATTCAAACAAACCTTTTTTTCATTTCTTCCACATTCACCAATCTTTTCATATAAACTTTTAATTTGGTCCTTTTTCAGCACGTCGCCTATTCGATCAACATACTCGTACGTCTATTTAGGGCGGTTCCTTGTTTAATAAATATTTTTTGTAATTTTTCTTTTATCCATCCTCTCCAAATGGCCAAACCAATGCAATATTCTCTTTTTGATTTTTATCTAAAGCATTTATCTTACTTTCATTCTTCTTCTGCCACACCCACGACTTGGTTCCATAAATATATGTGTTGGGGTCTATACTCCCCGAATTATGGCAAGGCAAGCTTCGCTCGATATATTTTTGCTTGCCATAATTGAGTGCAGTGCACCATTAATACTATTTCCCGCTTTCACTCTCCGTTCAATATCTCTTTCACACTTTACATCCCTCGTTTATAATATTGGTAAGGATTTTCCATGTCAAGTTAAATTGTTTTGAGTAATATACATTTTTATTCAGGATCTTGTCTGGCGAACTGTAGCCAAACTTCGCAACAAAAACTTTGAAGACACAGCGCTCGTCTTTGAGGATATACAGTTTCAACAAGCAATTACAATGTCAAAGGATATTCCAGTCCGGTTTTTAGTGACAATACTAAGTGGAACAGGCGAGTTCAGTGTGTGCGAGGGAGCCACCGTTGCAGTTACAGGTAAAGTGCGACTTGCAGAGAATACCGCTATTGAACGAGTCAAAATTCCACCACTTTCTCATTCTGATGAACCAGATCTATTATCTCTCAATAGCAGTGACGTATATAGAGAATTGAGAATTCGAGGATACAATTACTGTGGTGCATTTTGTGGAATATATTGTTCAGACCCGAGAAGAATAAAAGGCGAACTTGTTTGGAATGGAAATTGGGTTACTTTTATGGATACAATATTGCAATTTTGTATTATTGGTAAAAAAACACGTGAGTTAATGATACCAACTATGATACAACGAGTACTTATCGATCCAGCGGCACACTTGACTGCTGGAAAAGGTATCAACAAATTACCGGTTTATCGAGATAATGATATTGATACTATAATTTGTGGTGGTTTAGAATTTCGAGGAGTCAAGTTTAGTCTTATATCACGGACCGTTAATGAGCATTCATCGCCAAAATTGGAAAAATATGTATTCGTTGCATACGATAATACACATGAAGCATTTAAAGACTCCCTCTTTCCGAAACGAGACGCTCTCACCATTTGCACTCAATTATTACTGGAGAACGTGGGCACTCTGCGTCTAAAGATTACAGAAGCATCACTGAATCGACCAGCTGAAGTGCTACTAACTCCGCATATATTGCAAATATTGGATGGCCAGCCGCAAGTGCGTGCTGAGTGTAGTCTCGCCGCTGGTGCAGCCGCTATGTTCTACTTAGCGACGCTTCAAGATTTTTATGTAAAGGTATTTATTTTCTTATTTGAAATAGGCTACCAATAGTATACATGTTATACACTCAACACCTCAGGACAGTTCACGGTGTGATGCGTAATTTATGCAAAATACCAAATCATCAATTAGCAGGTGGCGGCGATCAAATACGGTGCGCATAGTGAAAATGAGGCGCCGGTTGTACGGGCATCTGTGCGAATACATTTTGTGCACACTAAATGCCTAATAAAATCTTGTATCGTTGCATTCTAGATGCACTACTACTCTCTCGCGTACTACTGCCAATACTGCCAATACCTCGTCAGGGCAATGAATATAATAGTTAACTAAGTCTTATTGCCGTGTGATAGGAGGAAAAGGATAATATAGTAGTACTAACACCGCTACAATGGTTTTATTGACCTATACTACCCTACTATCACTATCTATATCATACGAATACGTGATTCGCATGCGCACTCACACATATACACTTGCTATAACAACTAAGGGTAATATTTACATATATGAAATTTCTAATATGCAGGTGACAAGGAAGGACGCGAGTCAAATGGCACCCGACAGCGAGTGTCACATGGTGTTGGCAGGTGGCGTGGCGATACGGGACGATTGTAGTATTGTGCTGGGTCATCTGGCCGAGGCGCTCTGTGAGGGCGGCATGGTGCTGCTGGAAGAGGCGCCCGCGGCGCTGGGCGACGCGGCGGCGGAGCGGGCCGGGCTGGAGCCCGTGTCGCGGCAGGCGGCCGCCGGGCACGAGTACGTGCTGCTGCGGCGGCGCGCGGCGGCCGCCGAGCTGGCGGTGGTGGAGCTGGGCGCGGAGCGCTCGTTCGGCTGGGTGGCGCGGCTGCGCGCGGCGCTGCGGCGCGCGGAGGCCGCGGGCGCGGCGCTGCGCGTGGCGGCGGTGTCGCGCGCGGCGGCCGGCGGCGCGCTGGGGCTGGCCGCGTGCCTGCGCGCCGAGCCGGGCGGCCGCGCGCTGCGCGTCTTCCACCTGCCCGGCGAGCGCGAGCCCTTCTCGCCCGCCGCGCCCGCGTACGCGGCGCAGCTGCGCAAGGACTTGGCCGTCAATGTGCTGCGCGACGGCGTCTGGGGATCCTACAGGCATCTACTGCTCGATGAGGCCGACAAAATGCAGCTACAGGTTTACCTCTACTTTCACATTCAACGGGTTCGGTACTTCCTTCACGGCTCTACTGAAACTTATTTCAGCGGTGCGCTATCGCAGGTGGAGCATGCGTACGTGAATATTTTGACTCGCGGGGACCTGTCATCGCTGCGATGGATCGAGAGTCCACTGAGGTTTGCAGCTGAGAAACAGTGGCCACCACATACGGACCTATGCCGCGTCTACTACGCGCCGCTGAACTTTCGCGATATCATGTTGGCTACCGGCAAGTTGCCGCCGGACGCGCTGCCGAGCAATCTCGCTGGACAGGTAACACGGGCGATCTTTAGACAACCGACTGACTTTGTCGTGAGACGATGAGTGAGATACTAATAGAAACGTTGTAATGGAATAGTAACCCCTGCTGCGCTAACAGTATATATATTATACAACTTAGAATGGCAAACAAGCTGACGGTCCACCTGATGGAAAGTGGTAACCGTCGCCTACAGACATAAGCAATACCATGGACATAGCGGAGTATACTGTTTCGCCCATGATACCCTCCATGCGTTGCCATTCCTGAGGACTCAGGTGTTATTCTTCTGTACCCAGTAAATTTACGCCATATCCCATCCTTCAAACCGAAACACATCCATGCAAACACAACTGCTTCACGGTTGAAACAAGAATGGGACAGAGGTACCCAAGCAATTGACTTTTGTAAAAAGTCTCTGGTCTGCTGATAGAAACGTTGTGTCAGTGCAGGAGTGCATCCTGGGGCTCGAGTTTAGCGGACGGTCGTCGAGCGGCGCACGCGTGATGGGCATGGTGGCGGCGCGTGGGCTCGCGACCAGTGTGGTGGCCGACAAGGGGTTCCTGTGGGAGGTGCCTGCGGCGTGGTCGCTAGAGCAGGCGGCGACGGTGCCGGTGGCGTACGCGACGGCGTACTACGCGCTGGCGGTACGCGGGCGCATGCGGCGAGGCGAGACAGTGTTGGTGCACGCGGGCACCGGCGGCGTGGGGCAGGCCGCCATCGCGATCGCGCTGCACGCTGGCTGCACTGTGTTCGCGACCGTGGGCACGGCCAACAAGCGCACCTTCCTGCGCGAGCGCTTCCCGGCGCTGGACGACGCCAATATCGGCTGCTCGCGCGACACCTCCTTCGAGCAGATGGTGATGCGACGCACGCACGGCCGCGGCGTCGACCTCGTGCTCAACTCGCTCGCTGCCGACAAGCTGCTCGCCTCGGTGCGCTGCCTGGCTGAGGGCGGCCGCTTCCTGGAGATCGGCAAGCTCGATCTGTCCAACAACACTTCTCTCGTTAGTATATAACTGTATACACTTATTCTATTATGTGTCGATTTGAAAAATTTTGTACACCTATTCTATTGATCATCTTCCAGGGTATGTCGATCTTCTTGAAGAACACGACATTTCACGGCATCCTTCTGGATGCGTTGTTCGATGCGCATGGCGACGACGCGGATAAGGCGGCGGTAGTGCGCTGTATGGCGGAGGGTATCGCCACCGGCGCCGTCCGCCCGCTGCCTGCCACCGTCTACGCCGACCACCAGCTCGAGCAGGCCTTCCGGTATATATGCACATAAATAATTTTTGCATTTATCCTTTTGTATCCTAATTGTGGGTATTTAAATGTTGTTACTTGAACATATCCAGATACATGGCGACCGGCAAGCAATCGGAAAAGTGTTGTTGCGCGTGATATACAAGCTGATATCCGCCATCCCGCGCACCTACATGCACCCCGCCAAGAGCTACGTGTTAGTGGGTAAGTGGCGTGCGAGACGTCGTCGAGAGTTTTTTTTTTTTTTTTTTTTTTACAACACAGGGGGCAAACGAGCATGCGGCTCACCTGATGGTAAGTGACTACCGCCGCCCATGATCACCCACAACACCAGCGGCATTGCAGGTGTGCTGCCGGCCTTTTAAAAAGGAATATACTCTTTTCTTGAAGGTTATGTTGTCGTATCGGTTCGGAAATACTGCTGCTGGAAGTTGATTCCAAAGAATGGTTGTGCGTGGAAGAAAGTGCCTTGAAAAACGCACGGTGGAAGACCGCCACTCGTCCAGATGATTGGGATGAAACTTTAGTTTGTGGCGCAGTTGTACGGTGGTGAAAATCAGCAGCAGGTATCAATCCGAACAATTCCTCAGAACACTCCCCATGATAAATTCGGTAGAAGATGCACAGAGATATCTCTGCGCAGTTTCAATGGGTCAAGTCGCGCAGTAAGGCGTTGACTATGCAGCCGCCCGACTTTGAATGCGGTCTAACGGAAGAGTTGCTACTGTGGCGCTCCTGCCCACAGGTGAGAACAGTATTCCATATGCGGCCTGACTTGGGCTTTATATAATTTCAGGCGGTGTTCTGGCATGAAATATCGTCTCACCCTATTGAGCACTCCTAACTTTTTGGAAGCTATCTTAGCCTTCTCCTCCAGATGACCGCAAAACTGGACGTCGCAAGATATATCAACGCCCAGAATTCCTAGACTTGACTTTTTATCGAGAGAGTGCTCGACAATGGACAGCGATAAGTTCTCCAAGTGATGAGAGTCGCATGTGGTGTGCAGGTGGCCTCGGCGGGTTCGGGCTCGAGCTGGCGCAGTGGCTGGTGGTGCGCGGCGCCACGCGGCTCGTGTTGAACTCGCGCAGCGGCGTCCGCACCGGCTACCAGAGCATGTGCATCCGCAGGTAGCGTGCGGCGGGCAGCGGGCGGTGTGAGTAGTGCGCGAGCCAGCGGCGGGCACTGAGCCGGCGGTGTGTGCAGGTGGCGCGAGGCCGGCGTGGCGGTGCTGGTGTCGCAGGCGGACGCGACCGGCGCCGGCGGCGCGCGCGCGCTGCTGCGCGAGGCGGTCGCGCTGGGGCCCGTCGGCGGCGTGTTCAACCTGGCCGCCGTGCTGCGCGACGCCTTCCTCGAGAACCTCACGGCCGCGGACTTCGAGGCGGTCGCGAAGGCGAAAGTGGACGGTGAGCGTGGCGAGGCTGCGGCTGTGCGCGTGCGCGGCGCGAGCCCGCGGGACGAGTGTGTGCGTACTGTGTGCGTGTGCGGTTGTTGCAGGCACGCAGGCGCTGGACGCGGCGACGCGCGAGCTGGCGCCGCAGCTGGACTACTTCGTGGCGTTCTCGTCGGTGTCGTGCGGGCGCGGCAACCCCGGCCAGAGCAACTACGGCTACGCCAACTCCGCCATGGAGCGCGTCGTCGAGCGGCGCCAGGCCGACGGGCTGCCCGGGCTCGCCGTGCAGTGGGGCGCCATCGGTATGACTTTGTTTTGAAGTGTAACATATTTGACTATTTATATATTTTACACCTTTTTTATTTGTGCAACTAGTTATATAGCGTATCGATATCGATATATATATATATATATATATATATATATATATATATATATATATATATATATATATATATATATATATATATATATATATATATATATATATATATATATAATATGTTGCTATTGTAAACATTCTGACGCCTCCTTGATAGTATATAGTAACCGTCACCTTTGAATATCATAGAATACATTACTCGTATAATTATTTAAGATTTTTTGTAAACTTTGTGGGATTTTTTTTACACAATTTCTTTTATACATGATAAAATAATAAGGCAAACTTCTATTAATCTGCAGGCGATGTGGGCTTACTCGAGAACAACGTGGACGGCAAAACAACGGTGGTAGCCGGTACGGAGCCGCAAAGTATCGCGTCATGCATGCAAACTCTGGACACTGTACTGGCTCTGGGATACCCAGTGGTGGCTTCCACAGTACTGCCCGATAAATGTCGAGCACTCGGAACTCCGAAGCAGGACGCGGTAAAGAGCGTCGCTAATATTCTGGGTACATTATTTGAATACAAGTTGTCTGGACAGAGTCATGATATCGACCATCTTGGAAAAACTATTATTTACTGCTTCCATATGGTCTTACAACATTCTCGTAGATTAAGCAATGATGTAAAATACATGACCACAATATTAAGTAGACTACGAGTATAATAATATTATATTGTTTGACATTTCAAGTCACATAAAAACATAAATTTTTCACAAGTTTTATTAGCTGTGTGTGTAATACAATCAATATATATTCTTTATTGCGCTTGTAAATTACATATAAAATAATATGTTTATAAATGTTGTGAGCAAGGGTGGACTTATCTCTGACAGAGATCTCTTCCAGTCAACCCAGTACAGTGAGAAAGCATTTCGTTAGCGGGCAGCTGAAGTGCTACAACTATTAATACATAAACAAATATACAGTTAAATAAAATATAGAAATATATAGTAAAATATTACATAAATACATACACTATAAATACATATAATACCTACCTACTTATATAATAATCAATGCTTGGTTCGTAAACTTCTTTGTACTATTATATATTTTATAAGCCTTTATAATTTTTATTTATTTATAAACTTTACGTTAACTTTTAATTTATTTATAAATTAAAAGTTAAGGTAAAGTGCGAGTGTTCTCAGCTCTAATATAATCTAAGGTTTAAAATGTTAATTTTTTAAGGAATAAGGGATTTGAGCAGCATATCGAAGATCGTTAGCTTCGCAGAATTGGGAATGGACTCGTTAATGTGTGCAGAGATCAAGCAGACTCTAGAGTGTGGTTACAATTTGGTGCTGAGCGCTCAGGAGATCCGGAACCTCACCTTCACGATGCTCCTCGAGCTCACGGGCGGCGAAGAGTGCAGTGCCGCCACTCCTGCTGTGTCAGTCTTTATTGAGTAAAAGTTGGCAGATTTGGTTCAGCACGCAACATTTGACGGTCTTGCAGATTTGTCGGGTTCTACCGGTGAAGCCGAAATTTAGGCTACAAAATTAATTAAGCATTAAATTCGTAGTTAATTCATAATTAAACTATATATGTATACATGTATATACATATTAATGAAATATCAACATCATCAGTAAAACGTACATACCTTTTATTTTTGTTGTAATAAGCTGATTTAATTATTAACAATCTATTAAGGTCAAAATAGCATTTTCAATAAGTATAACTGTTACATTACACTGTATAATTATATTAAAGTACTTATATCATTACAAATACTATAACACAAAATCCAATGTACTTGTGCTCGCTGTCATAACTTAGTGATTCCGTTTACTACAATATAATTACTTCTCTTGTGTTCATCAGATCTATATTGAACGATGTATTTTCTGTTAATATATTTTCTTTCTGTTAATATATGGAATGTTTTTATTATTACTTGTTTGATTGTAATAAAAAATAAATACTGGAATTATTAGTATTATTCTGTCATAAAAAAAATTATGCTTAAATCAATTAGGATTACTAACAAGAAACAATGTAATGTACTATTAAACTGAAATATTTGTATTAAACGTATATTAATGTAATAGAACAATATAAAACATGTATACACAGATATACTTAAGTACTATATATATATATATAGACGGAATTGAATGTTAATTTATAATTTATGTTTGTTTCTTTTTTAAATGTTATTGTTGTTATTGGTTTCATTAGTTATAAGTACAGCGATTAATATTTGTGTGGTGTGTAAAAATAATAAATGTCTATTTATGTATCTAAGAATGTATTGTAATGTATTGTAAAATCTTTATTGTACATAATTCAAATTAAGCACTGATAAATGATTTAATATACAATGGCGGATCTATCGCATAAAGGAATCTCTTACAGTCAACCTTTGAGAAGCTGAAAGAATACTGTAGAATGTACAATGGTAATATCCGTACAATTAAAGATAAACTAAATAATATCCAGTAAAAAATTGAATATATAATACAATGAAAACAGCTCTATATACCTACATATGTAAATAATAAAAGTACATGAATAATAATATAACATTATTACATAAAAACTTACACAGATAAATACATATATATACATATATACAAAACACACTACACATATATATACCTGTATATACTAATGATTTATATATGATGATATATTTCTGAATGTATTTCTTATGTAGCGGATAATGTATCAACTTCATAATTAAATGTAATGAAATAAAAATTATAATTAAGTATTTTTTAAACTTCAAATATATGAATTCCCTTTGGAATATTTCAGTCAGTCAGTGTTAACTCCGTCTCTGTCAGTTAGTAACTAGTCAAAAATTACTCAGTATGACTAGTACGTTATACTAAGTCTATGGTTTAACTAGTTCGCCCGTAATCAAAATTGTTCGAACCTTACAAATTACAATTTGCAAAAACAATTTTAAATTCGGTACTTACCATTTGTGGCCTTGAACTGGGTTTTATTTTTTTTAAACAAACTATGTGTTCTGTCGTTAATTTTTATACGACAACTTTTTTGCTAATATAGTTTGATATTCTAAGCTTTTGCCAAGTATTTTCCTAGAACTGGGTTATAGTAGAGTGAGTATGTAATATTTATTTATTTTTAGGAAAACATACAACCTTATACAATCGATACATAATCATATTACATCAATGTTGAGTCATAAATAGTTTTTACATTTGCGTAATAATTACACAAACAAAACATAATCGGTTTTTAAACACGAAAAAAAAAAAATATAATTATTTACTAAGTTATAAATTTTGTTAAAACAATTTTGGGCTTAATTTGTAATAAAATTAAAACAATATGAGACATAACAACATTATTAAAATAATCAATTTAGTACAGCCGGCCGAGACCCAATGAATGATCCTGCCATTTGCAATTTATTACACAACACTTTACTTTAGAATTTTAGATACGTTTGCACATTTTCGCAGATAGGAGTAGGATAACGGTGCGTCTCGGCACGTGTAACGGGGTGAGGACGCGACGAGGACGCGGCGAGGATGCATGGGGGCGCTCGTAAGTGCGTGCAACCACACGGTTCTGTGGTATAGTCAGTGCAATGAGTCCCATACGAGGTTCGAGTCCGGCCGTGCCGCCACTGGCGCCAATCGCTGCCTCATTCTTCGAGGCGCTCAGTGCACCGCGAGCGCCGGCCGCTGCTAGTTGTTCAGTTTGTAGCGCGCGCTCTTTGCTCAACAGTTATCCACGTAGTTCTCGTGTGTCGGCAACTGATAACAGTGATAACATTCCTAAATAGCAAAACAGTACGCTATGGATCAGACGCGTTATAACCGTTTACCCACTTAGTTGCGGTAAGTTTTGTTTTCACTGTGAACCATTGAGGATTTGGGGTTTAAAAAGCATATTAATATTTTATGAACGTATCAATTCTCGCATAAGAAATAAAAATATTAAAATTTCCCATTCATGAAATTTTAAATTAATGATGCAATATGACGGAGAATTATCTATATTGATTTTATAAACAGGAAAGATTTTATTATTCAGCAATAAAAATCAGGTATGTAGGTACTATTTACCTGTATTCGCGTCACGTTATGTCCCGATAGTGTACTCGTATTTAAAATATATGATTATTTGTTTGTAATGAATAAACTGAATAACTACTCAACGGATTTTAAACAATTCTTACACTTATAAAAATCTACATTATCAGTAGGTAAGTTTAAAAATTCTGTCAACCCGTGCGAAGCCGTGTCGGATTATTAATTCATAAACAATTTCATTTTGCTATAATTACCTATGTTCTGAAACTAGGACATCGTGTTTTATAAGACACTACTGACACTCAGAATGTCTAGACCTGCTGAGTTCAATGAGCTTATTTCTTTAATTGGTCCAATTGAGAATTGAACATGATATCTGATTGACGCAAAACAATGTATCTACATTACCACAGTACTGCCGACATCTCTTATCAATCGACTTTAAAAAGAAAGTGGTCTTCAATTTTGTTATATTTTTTTTATATGTTTATTACATCATAACTGCGTCAGTTGTGAGCTGATTTAAAAAATTCATTTTTTATTTGTAAGGATATACTTACAGATTGATCCCGTAGAAATTTTATCAACGTTAGTTGAGCAGATCGTTTTTTTAAATCAGAGCAACTAATAACTATGATGATACAGCCGTTAACTGTCTACTGCTGGGGGAAAGGGATTGTTAGTAATGGAGACTGAGAATCCCATTACTAGCAATATACCCAACCAGGTCGACCTCCTGGAAACTGTCATAGTTAATTCTTGATGAATTCATCATGATGGGCTAACTGGCCTGTTTTCATTCTCATCTATCACCCTTCATTGGTGCTCCGCCAGCGTATCCTGTTAGTGCAGGCGGGGTTACCATTCCATTTTCACCCGTAAAAAAAAAACTGTTTACTGCTGAATATAGGCCTCTCCTTTAGGGGGTTATGCCAGTACTTACCACACTTGACAGGCGAGTTGGCAACCGTAGTTAGGCTTTGATGATGTTTTAAGAGGGACGCTGCTGCCCATCCCTCGACCGTTATGTTCCCCGATTCAATTGTTCAGTGTTTAAATCAAAATAACTGGTTTTGTCACAATTGAAGTGGTATTTTTTGGAATACAATTTCATTATCATAATATAATATAGGTAACTGATAGGTTTTGCATAGAGATTTACCTAAAAGTATATAACAAATATGTCAGTATTGGCAACTATATTGCGACTACCGACTAACATAATTAAGGCATTTAAAAAGTTCGCCAACATTCGTGTCCAGTCACCGTGCACTCATTTTTATTACTTATCAACCAGTACTGGTTTTAAATCAGACCGTATTGTATCTGATCAGTTGATTTTTTTATATACTTGTAACATTTAGAACGTCTTATGTACTGTTGAAAAGCAATAACTGAAATCAGAGGGAGACTTTGTACAAAAGTCATTTGCTTGGGTACCTCTGTCCAATTTGTGTTTCAACCGTAAAGCAGTTGTTTGCATGCCTGTGTTTTGGTTTGAAAGATGGGATATGGCGTAAATTTACAGTGTACAGAGGAATAACACCTGAGTCCTCAGGAATGGCAACACATGGGGGGTATCATGGACGAAACAGTATACTCTGTTATGTTCATGGTACTGCTTATGTCTATAGGCGACGGTTACTACTTTCCATCAGGTGGCAATATTCTTTTTTATATGAAAGTTTATAATATATATAATTTATATAAATAAAAAAAAAAAAAATTCACAAATCTATTTACAATTGACGGAGTTATGAGGTTACAAATACAAAAATCAGCAACGGAATTGAAAATCCCCTTCTTTGAAAAATCGGTTGAAAAGTAAATTAAATTAGATGCTTTTATTTTTTAATCAGTCTACAGAATTACGACATGCATGTATACATTTAGGTTCATATCTGCAAAATTATCCATTATTCCTATGCGATATATTAAAGATTGAAGTGATTAAAATTATATACAAAATATTATGTGGATGTCGTAGTACGTATTGCCGACACTTTAAGTGTAGCTAATCTGACGTCCAATGGAATTAGAATCACTCTTAAGCGTTCAACAAACGTGGATATTATTGGACATCCTGTACATTTAAAATACTGGCCAGCGATGCAGTGAAGTTAAGGATAGACAAATGAGTAAATATTATATGATCGTTTCTTGTTTGCGTCTCGGTTTTTACAAGAGCAACTAGAACTAATTATTCTTACCAGTTATGATTTTGACAGTGAGTGCGTTTGTCAGTTATCCCTTAGCGTGTTGACTGTTTATGCCGTGACCGTATTTTTCTTTATTTAAAATAAAAATCTGCATTTATATTAGACAATTTTAATTAGTTTTTAATTTTTCATAAAGTGTCAAAACTGTGTTTCATTAAAAATAAAGAGGTTGCATTACTTAAAAATACGAGTAATTGCTCTTAACATTGACTGCTTAATGCAATTGTCATGTAATTTGTCGCACAGTATTCGGAACGGAGGAGGTGATTTTTAACCTGGTTTATCGATATACATATCCCGGTTACGTCGACGAAGTCGATGGTAAAAATTGATTCTTTTGTATTAATAATGAGTTATCAATAAGTTCAGACGTCCATAGTCACTGCATTTCATTCATGCGATTGTAACATGTTCTTTGCCGCCCGAATCTATTGGCTCTTTGCAATACATTTGAGAACTTTATACATTACTCCATCTATTATATTTTACGCTTTACCCTCTGATATTGATGCTCTTTTCCACTCTGAGTGTCGCTGGAAGAGAACTCTTTTACAGTTAAGCTCGTCTTTGTACATTTACTTGCCTCTGTCATATTTTTATGTACTATCAATGTGTGCAATAAAGAATAAATAAATATTTTCATTCATCCATGTCACCTTACACTACATTTGTTTATACGGGGTCACCACTCTAGGATCATTCTTCTTGTATTGGTTTTATTTCATTGTTAACATTGTTTATGAAACAAATAAAATAAAAAGTTTTATTTTGCTATAAAATTTTGTGTC